CATCTCATCAGAAGGGATACAAGTTTGAGAGTAGATGTTTGTACGCTGATATCAAAGTGGAAATTTAGAGTATCCTTAGAATCGAAATATATTCATTCAATCATTATAATTATACGAGAAAGCTTAAAGAGGAAATTACTTGATATGGAAACAAGAAACCATGAAAATAAAATGGCTTAAGCAAACCATACTCTAGATATATTAGAAGTTGTTTCAGTTCCTTAAGAGATTTAATGTATAAATCTCTAAGGGATTTTGTGCTTAAAAAGTATATTTTAAACTCAAAGGAATTTATTCGTTTCCGATATCAGCTTTGGTATTAAAGCTCATCGAGAATTTCACAAAGATCTTTGTAGATTAGAGATTCATCAGTTATAATCTTGTTGGTAGCTAGGTAATATTGATTTACTACTTTGATTATCCACTGTAATTAAAATAAAGAGAACTGTGTGTGTTTGTTGATATTATACGTTTTGCTCATAGAATTTTCAAAGATTTACTCTCCCGTAGTATCGATTCGTAATAAATCATGTCCCTATCTAGAGTAGCAAACGGGAGGACGGTCGTGGAAACGCCCTGGCCATAACGTGTACCCTCGGAATCCGACGTTATGGCCGTTGGGCAAACAAAAAGGACGCGTTGTAAATAAACAATTCCAGCGTCTGTAACGTAAGTTGAGTTATACGTTTCTTTGGTGACCAGTAACTTGGAATTTATGGATAAGAGCCGACGTTACCACCACCGTTTGTTCGTTTCCTTCATTCGTAAAATGGTCCCATTTTTTTATCATCATCAAATTTGATATTACGTTTTTATTCCTGAAAAAAGAATTTTTTGATGAATTTAATTCAGCTTGTTAGTTAAAATTTATTAACTTAATACGCACCACGTCCTAATCAATGAAGTTCTCCCTTTTCTCGAAAATCTCATTAATACCCGCGTACTTTCAACCCCCCTTAACATACATTCTCTGGTTACCGAATTTCTCTCCTCGGTTTTAGGCCCGTATCGAGATCAAAGCTTTCTCTCGACACCTTCTCCCTCTTTCGCATTATTTGTGGTGGCTCTTACCACCAGGAACCTCCCTTTTCGTCTCCATCATCCTGAATAATCTACAACCAACAACCCTCATTCCATTAACAAAGTAAAATAATCAATCACAATTTTTGGAAATGTGGGCGTAGCTAGCACCACCCTTCCTTGATTTAGTTAGGTGTCTTTAAAGAAGAAGTTTGAGGAAGAAATAAATAAATTTAGTGAATTAGTACTAAATTAACTGAAATTTTTCTATAAATTTATGTCATGATTAGGGTTATTTATCGTAATCGAATGGAGATGTGTGTAGTTATGATGAGACGCGATTCGGTTGCTGTGTGATTTATGAAAACGTTATCGGGTGTCGAATTTATCTCTATCTGGTGGTAGGATTTTTCCGATCGCACTTTTTTAAATGCGACGCTAAACTAAAATCAATAGTGCATAAATCAACATTGACGCACACTGCCTGGTGAACCAGTTGTTGATATCGTGCTGTAGAACGCTACCAAAAAAACTGATGCTCTTTTACAATTTCGAAGCGGATAGCAGTCGAGGGGATAATATTTTTCAATTTCGGGGTCATTGCTATTGGTTTCAACCGGCATTGTTTATTTCAATGTGCAAACATTCCGGATTTATTGAAATATGTTAAAAATAATATAAAGAGTTAAAAATTACAAATAAAATTGGCTCGATCTTTATTTGGTTCATTTATTATAATAGTTTTGATATCAGTTAAGCTCGTTCGTCTATATATAGACGGAACCTTAGAAATAGGATTATATTTGTTGATAAAGATTGACATTGATACGCAATCAAGTTGAAAGCTATTCTTGTAGTACGAGATAGGGGTTAATACAAGAACAAAAAATTGAACGAACCGACCTAAACATTTATCACTTTTCCAATATCAGAAATAACATCTTGAAAAGTCGTTTGTCATTTATAGTGAAATAAATCCGATTGTTTGTAATCAATCATTTTGATTTAATAGGGGTTGGAATATTAATATACTATATTAATATTATTGTACACTTCAAAATTGTTAAAATTACACAAAAGTAATTTAATAATCGCAAGTAGCACAACATTTGGGACCTACATCTCAGATTAATAAAAAATGAAAATCGACGAAAATAATATATATATAAGGCAAGCAATAAACGTCAAAACAAGAAGCCAAGAAGAAACTGCTGTTCACAAGCCAAAGCGAAGAAAACATCATAGGAGACGAGGTGCCAGAAATGCTTACTCGAAAAAAGAACATCGTCTAACAAGGATTAGAAACACTGCCTGATGTCACAATAATGAATTAACTTTAGCCCTAATGAAAACTAAGAATAACTAATCCCCAGGCATAGATCGTGTAGCCGCTGACCCGATATGCAAATTGAAGAGAAGAGTAAATCTTGCAAGGGTAGCCTATGACAAACTGAAGGTTATCTTCAAAAGTTACTGCCAATCTGGCTAAAACGAAAAATATCTGACCAATACATGTTGCCAGTTGACCTTGACCACAACAACTTCTAAAAAAAGCATATTACACAAATCAAAATGAAGAGGTAAAAGAAAAAGGACGGGAATTATTTAATATAATGGAGGCCATTCTCGAAATCAGCACAGTTAATAAGCATCAAATCTTTTAATTCTGTTACAAAATGACCTAGTTTTAAATTTGCTTTTGTTTGTTGATACATAATATTGTAATTTTCACTTCACTGATATTATCAGTAACTAGCTTTCATTGTTCTAAATATAGCTTAAATTTTCTAAACTTCTGATTTAAGCTTCATTCCAAAAAGAATTTGTTATCTTTAGCTAATCATTGTTTATTAACCCAACTTTTTCTCCAAACTAACTCGTGTATGAGAAGGCCGAACTGACGAAAAAAAAACCGTTAAAAACTTCTTTAGGCCCATTTCTGAACTCTCAAAGTTTTCTTAATATGAGGATTTGCAACATTTATTAATATAATCGCGTGTTTTATACAATGCTAAATACACAAAAAGTAATAATGCCTGAATACTTCAGTTCTGTGTAAATTGTAAATTTATAGTGAATGTCACTGTTATGTACACGCAACGATACCAAGTTTTATCAAATGATCATGTAATTTACTATGCAGACCTATAGTGCGCTATCAGAATCGATTGAGTGTGTATCTCTGATTACACATATTCGCAACAAAAATTTAAATTTAATTTAAAACAAGAATTGTGTTTTATTTCCAATATCCTTGAAACAAGTTGACAAATTTTTACTATTAATTGATCTCCTTTCATTGAGTGATTACCATGAAAGATAAGGAAGAAAGAAAAACAAGAAATCCTTTGTGATATTTAGACTTTAAAAAGATTTATTATACCAGTTTGGGGCCCATGTGGCCCTTTTCGTACCGTTATATTAAGACGGACGACTTAAGCGGGGATTTGTCGGTAAAATTCGCTTTTTTTCTTTACGTGTGCTAAGTTACAACGCTTTCCAACCTCGATCCTTTTTTTACATTTAAAAAAAGGTTTCTTTAGAATTTTTATCACGACGACGGTTTCGAAATCCCTTCCATTTTGCGAATCGTCAACTATAGGAAAAGGTGTCGTAAAATAGGAAACAGTAAAAAATATTAACTAAATGGGATTTTGAGCTGATACGAACGGTTCCATTTGATAAATTAAGTGAAACCAAGCGGTTATCGATTTAATTAGCTTAAAACCCCCAAAAATAAAAAGAATTTTAACATAACACATCATTGAATTAGGTATAACTACTTTAAATATCACATCATAAATCTTCACGAAAGGTAGATTATAAATTATTGCCAGTTATAACTAAATGATATGAATGGGCCATGTGACTTGTTATGTACATTTAGCAAACCACATTTAGCACTACATTACAACCATTTATTACGAAATTATTTTGTTAAATAATATACGAGACGTGACTTGCAATCAACAATTACAGTTTAAATTGATCATAATTAGATGTTTGTTTTAGAACTATATGAAGTCGTGAATTATTTATCACCTACGCTTTATATCTTTTAAAATATTTAAATTTGATTTATATAAGGGGTGCATATTTCTCACCCACATCATTTTTTCCTTCGTCAACTTGTCACTGGAGCTCTATTTTATCTAAACCTACCAGAACCAATCAATCACTACGCGATTTCATTGACGTATTTAGATTTTTCTGAATTTTTTAGTGAGGGTGCATAAAATGAATTATAATGGATTTATTCTAACATACTAAAATAGTATAGAAAAATGTAGTTTTATAATAAATTCATCTAAAACAACTCGTTCTATTTCATACATTAGAATTCCTCCTTTACGAAATTAATGGATAATAAACCTAGTATACAAATAAGATATAATCATTTGTTTTAAAGGAAAAGTCTAGACGCTTTTGGATGCTTCTTCTAAAAAGCTTTAACCAACGAAGATGTTTGGAATTTCACCGGCAGGTGGTAGTTAGCGAACCCGATGCGGTGGCTTAGAGGTGGAGAAAGGGCTTTAAATAATGATTTAAGATCTCCTGGGCCACACAACAACACAGTAGGTGTAATAATAAAAGCCGTAGTAGACAGGAGCCGGCAGGCAAAAGCAGCAAGTGAAGCCGCAACAGTATCGATTTGGTCGACCGTCGGAAAGAGAACCGGAAGGGCCGTCACGCCCTATCCGCGATAAATCAACACGCGGCGGTCGCGAATTGAGTTGTGGCCGAACGTTCCGAAGCCGAAGCCCCGGCGTCCCGACGCCCTGCCGATTAATGGCCGTACGTGCTGAATTCCCGATACGTCAATTTAAACATTTTCGGGATGTCAAGTTGTCGACGCCATCGACGACGCCCTCCGAACCATCGGCATCAACGACAACTTCGGATTTTCCAAAGGTTTTTGTTTCTCTTTTTTTTATAAGCGTGAAAAGCAGCTCAACATCATGATAGATTTACGGATAAAATTGATTGCAAATTGAATTTATTCTTTTCTTTTTTGTATACATAGATACATATCAATAGTTTATTAAAACCAATCTTGTTGCTAGTTTTGTTTAGTGCATTTACGTTTCTAGATTATTTAACCATTTTCATTTACTATACGCAATAAATCCATTGGGAGTTTTAGAAAAACAGTTCCCATGGTGGACGTGCCCAACTTTATATCGCATCGCGTCCAACATAAATCCACGCCCAACCCTTGCCATGGAGAGAGAACCAAACTTCGCCAACAGGTTATTTTGGGGTTACGAGAATTTAATTTTGGGTGGAGGAGCCGGGGCAAAGTTCGTTCTGATGAAACTCATACTCCGTTTCCCCTCCTTTTCGAAAGCGGAACATTACTTTCAGATACTGCTCGTAAAATATGGCATACATAATGTATGGTTATTGCTCGAAAGCTTCCAAAATGTCTCTTTGTTGCGTGTACTGCCCACATTTTGGAATCTTTTTAGTTTAAGCTAAACTTTGGTTCGTGTGTTCATAAATTACATTTTTTTTTTGTTCGAAATCGATAACAAAACCAGGTGGTAATAACGGTAAATTAGTATGTTTCAATAATTCATTCATTCGGCTTTGAAAAATATCGTGAAATACCTATTGTATCGATAAAACATCATCGCATACATGTATTTATAATGTACGTTAGTCTCGGTGATTACATCAGCTAATGTTAATAGTACAAACATTATTGAATAATAAATGGGTTTATTTTGTGGGATATTCCAAAAGAAAATTGTATAGAATTCTTTTGTTAAAAAAATAAAATTTTTTTGTTTTCTCGCTCAAAAAGTTATTCAGTTTTGAACGCGACCACTAGCTAAACTAAAGTCGATAACTATGCACTTTAAGTTCAACGCGATGGCCTAAGCGAGGTTAAAGTAAACGGTTTTTCATTAAGAATAACATTTTACCAACCTTGATAAAAATGTTTTTTGAGAGAGAAATTTGATAAAGACTCTAATTGAGAATATCAAATGTTTGAGTATGTTTAATTCTGAATAAAAATTACTTTATATGCAACTACACTTTATACTCGATATAATACCCTATTTTTTGTAATTATTGACAGGCTAAAAATGGAGGGCAAATTGCTTTATAGAAAATTTCATTTCAAAAATAATGCAGTTGTTAAACAAAATAAATTGAAATGAACATGAAATTGTTAAAATAATTGCACCGTCAGAATGAAAACTGATTATATACATACTGTAATAATTTTAACATTATCTTATTGTTAGTTCACCAAGAGAACATAACCTAGAATTTGTGACAGAGAGATTTTTTGTTGGTGAAAATCTTATCTTAAACCGTTTTGTTTACTTCCAAATGTATCAATTATTGTAGTTCAGCTCCTAAAGCACATTTTTCATCCATCTTTTGAGGTTTTAACGTTATTTTGAGGAAGAAATCCTTGATTTAAATCTGAATTTTTCCAACTTTACTCATTGTTGAAATTTGGCGTGTACTCCAATGTATGTCTAAAAACAAGAAAAGACAACGTTGAATACGAAGTTTTATTACGTTTCATAAAGGAATAAGGGAGAAATCAACGAAAAAAGAATTAAATTTTGAAGGTTAATTCCGAGAAAAATCAAGAGATGACGCTAGTTTCGAAGCAAGATTTTTGAATTTTGAAAAGGGCGCGAAGCTAAGGGCCAATCAGAAACGAGGAAAAAACAGTTGGAGTGCCGGGGTATATAAGGAGATCGCGAACAGGGAGTGAGAGAGTCGTCATCAGACCAGCGTCGAATCTGCGTCGTCAGATAGAAGAAATTTTGAATCTCAAGAGATAACCTCAAAAATTTAAGATATTTTTTTTAAAAGTCAAATCAACTTACAATATTAAAATAAAAAGAGAATCATCCTACAACCTATTCCGAGAACTACTGATACTTCTTCGAGATCATCCAAGACCCTATTTCCGAAGAACAAACAGTTCAATTTCCCGTAAGAAGAATCCTGTAGACAATCCAGAAAATTAGTTAGTGCCCCGAACACAAGAGACAATCCATAATCCAGATACCACATTGAACTCCAATCCTTTCTTTTACACAGTGAGTCGGATGATAATTTTATTTTATTATTTAACATAACCTACAAAAAGAAAAATCAAAGAATCAAACTCAAAGAACAACTCACAAGAGTTTCCTATAATTTTTATCAATATTTACTTGTGTGTAAAGATTTATTAGTTTTCTTGAATATATTATTTATTTAATTCTATTTTTCTTCAACGAGTTTGATGACAACTTAAGAAGTCAGCCATTTGTTATTTTCAAAGAACGGTTCTAACTAGTTTTATCCTACTGTCTCTCTCAAGTAATAAACGGGTTCTCTCTAATATCGATATTTCAGTCGATAACCGCAGTTATCTATTTTATTTAAAAATTTATCTCGTAAATAAACATTGTTATTAAAGTAAATTTAGGAAAACCATTTTTTTTTGTTACTCATAAAACGAGTTAATTTGATTTTGTGTTAATTAAATGAATTTTTTGTCGAACCTGATTAATATTCTTTTGAACCTGAACTTGCCCGAAACCCTGAGTTTTTAATAAGAGTCTCTTAAAATTAAAGAAACCCAAATTTATAGATTAATAACTTGTGTATAAAACATCACACAAGTAAAACAGCACAATATATATTATTTTTTTCGCGATAACTTAATAGTCTGGAATTGGTACCGAAAATAATTAAACAACATTTAATCACAAAACTACATTTAAAATTTTTTGTTAAATGTTACCTCGCAATATTGACTTACAACATTACAGCAATTATTTAACTTAAACAAACAGCTTTAAATTAGTGTAATTATGAACAAACAGCATTAATAATCAAGTTAAACTAAAACTAGAACTAACACTAGCGCTATCACTAGAACTAACACTAGATCTAGAAACTTTCGGGTTTAGCGTTTCGGATGCCATCTTCAGAAACAAGTTCTAAGTGACGAAATCGATAAAACCCGATAAACTCCCGCTCTATTGAACAGGGTTAGTTTGTCTTTGGCCATCGGATATTGGTTACTGGCACACCAGTAACGAAAACTCTATTAAGTCCCTCTATTAAAGTTAATCTTCTACCCAAAAATTGAAGAGTAAGTAACGGAATACTCTTTGATAGCTCTTAGATGAGACTGTAAGCTTTTTTTCTATGAGCTTACTATGCATTTAATGCGTTATGTAATTATAGTTGATCGTATATAAACATATAGACGGAGGTGGAGTGGATATGGTGAAAAGAAGGTCCTTTCAATGTGGGCACAGATACTATATAACGTAGCACCTGAGGGTTAGATTTGTACTGAGGAGGAAATCATGAAATTATTGAGACTTGAACTAGAAAGCTAACGTGTGCATAAACCTGTTATAATAAGATTTCACGAGAACAATAGGGATGAAGACAATGAAGATGATGACATTGTGGAAATAAATAAATAATATTTCAAGTTTTGCAATATTATTTGGTGTGCAATTAAAACTTAACTTTCTTATAATTAATATATGTACATCTCGGCAAGACTACACCCATATACGCTAGGTGTATTTGGTTGTCTATTTTTTCAAAAATACATTTAATTTAAACCTATTTCGAAATCTTATTAGGTTTTAAGCGACGAGTCATTCGCGTTACACGTGGTATGGACCAACAATACTCTAGAATTGTATAAATGGTGACTTTAGGATTTACAAAATGTTTATTCGATAATAAAATTGATAGATGAATTGACAATAATCTATTTCAAACAATTTATTTTTATAACTAATAATATAGATGATATAATACCAGTGTTTTTGAATGGAAAAATAATATTTTATCATAAATGACTAAAAAGCGTATATTGACACCTTTTGGTTCGTAAAACCGAGGTTCCAGCGTAATAATTAATAAAAAACTATAATCACATTTTCTGTAGTTATCATCCTGTATAAAATCATCTTGTTGTTCTCTTTGGTTGTATGTAAATAGGAAGCGAATGCAAGCGACACTTTACAGTTTGCTCTTTGGCAATCCCACAGCGTGCTTGTAGGAGTGTTATTGTCCAGGGTGTTTTGTTGCTAAAATAGCGCCTGGATACGGCCGCCACGGCGTCGGCTGTCCGTTGGCCGGCAAACGAGAATTAATTATCAGGTTGGAGCTGCCGGGGCGTCTGCAGGACGTGAATGTGACAGGAGTGTGGAGTTTCCAGTTGCCACACCTCCTCCTGCTAGTTCCACGTCAGATCTGATAACGCTTTGTTACTAGAACTATAGTTACAATTGGCAAAAATATTAGATTACAAAATACAACCATTGGGTTTTTAGAAATATGTAAAACAAAATGTAATTTTTCATTTTGAATGTTAGTGCTCGTTTTGAGCGCTACAATACATATAAACATAGTATAAAATAGTCATATATTTCTCAAAATTGAAGTGTAAAAGAAAACAAAAAGCAAAAAATATTGGAAATATTGGTTGATAGGAAAAATAAGCCATAAGCGACATTTACTTGATTTTTCAAGTAACAAAAAAAACTTTCATTACGTTGTAAAAATAGACATTTGCCAAAACTTTAAACCAATATTGTAGTACTTTGAAGTTTGTTTTCAGTTATTGCTTTAACTGCTGAATGCAGACTTCAAAATCCAGTTTCACGGTGTAGCTAAGTAAAAAGTGACCATTATTTATGCCGTTTTGGCTTGGCAACGATGTCTTTATAATCAAATGATCTTATTGAAAAAGAAAAAAATACTATCAGAGAATTTTATTTTTCATAGACCTAAAATAAATGTAAAATAAAATATAATATAATTCTATTACACTGTATCATTCAAGTGAGCAGAATTTTGTGAGGTAGATTTCGGAATCTGCGAAACTATAACTAGATTCTGTGGTATTAAATGTGCATAACCGGAACTGTTGGGGAATAAATTAATATAGCTCGTTAGTGCTTTTCGTAGGTCGAAAAAGGACCAAGAGAACCGAAACGGTGACGCATTCTCTTCGTGATCTTGCGCCATGGCGACCCAGCTCCCAATTTTGCACTTGACTTGAAGCAATTAGCAAAGTTTGATATTTAAATATTAATAAAGGAATAGAAAATGAACATTGCAATGAAGATGGAGAACTTTATACACTTTTATTTGATTTCTTATACCCTTCGATCAACCCACTTATAATTTCGCTTCGATTTCTGGTCAAATTTAAAAAGTTTTAAAGACTTCATTTGATAAATCAGAATTTTTTGAAAAGTTTACTTTTTCAAAAAGGTTTATTTAATCTCGAAAAATTTAGATATTAAACTTAATCGATATTCGTATCTAGGAAAACGTAGTTCTCGGTCAGAAATCCAACACCATTAATCATGTAAATGGTGAAAACTCGTAACGTGTTCACTGCAGCGCGTTTTTTTTTGTTCTAGATCAAAATCGTGCATCCCTTGTGTTGGAAAATTATACTCCCTAAAGAGAATAAAATTGTTATATTCATTACTCCATAATAATTGAAAAGTACAAAATGAGTAGAGAGCCATTTCATGTTTAATACAATTTTCTTGCCCTACCTAAAAAATTAATAATAAACTTATTCAAAAATAAATCAATTATGCAACAAGCATCAAAGTAAAAAGTTTCGTGTGTGATGACGTAAAATCCGCAATAAACCTCGTTTATTTCACGTTGTTTATTTTCCTCTCCCCACATTTATTTTTTGCTTTTTTGCAAAGTTGTAAAAGCTAAACTTATTTAGGTACTATCTCATTACGGACTAATTCCCTTTGCGTTTTAATTACTCTCACGATACAGAAGGAGAGTGAAAGAGCGTCGCCCTTTCGACTTTACGATGTACTTAAACCGCGGCCGTAGCGATTTTAACGTTTCCTACGAGCCACGTAAACTCCTGCAAAACCAATGAGTTCGAGGGACGTTAACTGCTAAAGAGGCCAACACCGCAGATGACGCAGTATGTTTACGGTTTGAACCCAGATTAACCTTCTATCACCAAAAGGTTCAAGCTTAGATATCACAAATCTAAATACGACTTTATTTCAATAAAATCTTTTTAAAATCAATTTTCTCTTGATATCATTCAATCAAAACGATATAAAATCATCACATTTCTCCCATATAATTGTTTGAAATTGAGATTTAAATCTAAAATAAAACTTTTAAGTTGTTAAAAGTAAAATAAATTCTGACGCGATAAAACATACAAAGAACTCAGTTGAACAAAGTTGAATTCGAACAAAGAAAAAAGTACTAAAAAGTCACTTCATTGTGTGCTGCGAAGTTAAACATTTAGGTTGTAAGATGTTTTTAAGATAGGAATTGCCGTTTATTTTGGAAAAATTTTATTTATTTTTGTATCTTTCCGTTTTAAAATCGATCGTTTTTCGTCTTCCAAATTAGATTTTGAAGATGACGATGCGACGGTTTCGACAGACTTCAATTTCTATCTAAAAGATATTACATTCAATTGCATCCTGTCCGTCCTTTTCGCAATGTAAACGTGAACGGCGAACTAAGAGTGAATTTAAAAATCCGGCGATATGATTTGTTTATCGTGACATATTGATATTCGTTTACCACTATTATTTTTAATTATTTTGAATGATTATGATAATAGCATATGGTGTTATGTTAATGTAAGTTTTAAAATTGAAATATATATTAATATTTATTCGAGTTTAAAATTCAATTATTACTTTCCCCGTTTCGAATTCTAAATAGTACCTTATATTTGAATGAAAATGAAGGGAAAGATGATAAAATATGGAATAACACTTAAAGTGCCATTAATACTTTACAAATTTATGGAATTCTTATGCAGATTCGAATGGAAATTAAATTAGGATTAACACATTACGATGGAAAATACAATTTCTTGCAAAAAAAACTATGGCAACTATATTTTTAGCTTTAACTTTGTATCATTGTGATTTTATCATTTGCAATTTGCTCTATCATTATTTCTGCTATCTATCTTTTTTTTACATTCATTCGACAATCGAGTCCTTTAAAGGGAAAATTGTAACGTGCCGGTGTATCACCACCTATATTTTACCATCATAACTGTCAGACGGTTGGTTGTGATGTGGTTTCCAACCTCCCCTTTTCAACTCTCTCCTTTTTTACGAAGCTACTTATTGACAGGTAGATAACGGATGATCCTGGTTTGTCGTGGTTTACCAACAAGTTTTGATTTTACGAATTTTTATCACCCACTATAAAGTAGTTTCGATGCGACAGGTGATCGATTAATCACTCAATAGATTTTTTCTTTCGAATTGTACGATTTAAAACTGTGATTTAAGAATAAATTTTTAAAAGTATAAAAGAGTTGAAAGAAAAATATGAGATTGTCGAAGATCTAGGAAAAGTATCAAATCCGGATTTGTTTTTTTTAAACATAACTTGCAGATGTAGACCTAAAAGAAATTATTAAGAAAAGTACATGTTGAAATCTTTTTCAAAACTAAAACTAAAGTAATTTTATATAACACGACGCTTACCTCATGTTCGCCCTACGTAGAGTGCATTCGTGTTACAAGTTCGAACATGATACAAGTTCCGTTACAGCTCAGTAAAAATTTATGCGAATACGGAAGCAGTTGTAAATTTTCGAAAACGATCCGAATATCCGTTACATCACTATTACAATTTATATTTTACATTGCCATATTTTTTTGACTTATAATTCCGATGGTGTCAATAGTGACTCATATTCTTGTATAGGAGACAAGATAAAGAGATGTATACCGTGACGCTCTATACTGCTTTAAGAGAGCTTATCTACCTGACTTGTACGAGGCACTACTTAACATCGACTGGACTCATTTATTTACGTTATCATCGGTTGAACAATCCTGTAATGTTTTTTATAAAGCATTATACAAAGTCCTGGACGCTCACGTATCTAAATCTGAGGGCAAGCATACAAGGTCGAAATATCCTGTATGGTATTCAACAACCTAATAGGAATGCTTGGATTAAAAAAACACTACCATAAATTGTATAGCAAAACTCATTGCAGATATCACCGCACAAGTCTCAGTCGACTTCGTCGAGTATAAATCAAGTGTTTGGAGAGGGACATAAAAAAGGAACTAAAGAACTTTTGATGTTTTGTTAACATGAGCAAAAACAATACTCTCAAGTGGGCCAGTGAAAGTGTGTCCGATTTGCCAACAGTAATTAACTTATTTGGAAATCATTTTAAGACTATGTACTGTCCTGCGTCAATTGAACCTAATTCTGTCACCTATGGTATCTCCAAAGTTAGTTGCAACGAAATGGTTGAATGTTTCAAAAAAATCAAGGCAAAGGCTACAACGTTCCTAGATGGGATTCCTGCATTTTTAGTCAAGGACTACGCCCCTGCACTCTTACATATTTTCAACCTAATAATCAACAACTCTGAATTGGCAAACTTGAATATTGCTGTAACGTTTGGTTCCGACTTTTTTGAGACAATGGGAAACATATAAACGTATACTTTCTGTCAGAACTCGTTGAATACTTTGTGGCGAAGAAATTCGTTTCCTTCTTCAAGTTTTCCAGTACTAATCAATTATTTTTGTATGCCTTTTTGAGTGTATGCAATTTTCATATCTCAATATATATTTGAGAGAAGTAAAGAAATAAAATGTTGAGTAATTTATTGTGTTACAATCAATATGGTTCCAATTCTAAATACTCAACAATAATAAATCAAAAACGCTGACCAATACTGCTTTTGTTGGTTGCTCAATCGTCCACATATATTGTTCAATATGCCATTTGGGGAGACCGTACCAAACCTACTAGAATATACACATATAATGTTTGAATATTGTACAAACAATGATGGTCCGTTGATCCGTATCCTCGATACTTTGATGAATCGCCGTTCGTATCTCCTCTGGCAATTTGTACGGAATTTAGTATTTCACCTGTGGGAACACGTCAATAATCGACGTTTAAAGTCGGCATCTACCCGATAATTTGCTACCTGGTATATCGACGGTGAAGTTTCATTCCATTGCACTTCACTTGAATCGGAACATAGAGAGAAAGAGAAGTGTACTAACACTTATTGGCTGACATAGCAGATATGCACACTCACGGAAAGTGGAATTCGCGAATTGAAATTGGTGAATGAACAAAGAACCTATAGTGGATTAATAAAAAAATATGGACATCGAAATTGCTAATTTAATTTTTTTGCAATCAATTTTAGAACACAAATAAAATTAAAATGACTTAAATCTATCTACCGTTAACAAAATCCTAGATAATTAACTTGTCTTGCGGCTAATAGAATTCAACCAAAACGAAAATACTTGTGTACGTGCAAGGAAATTCATTTTAAAGAAAAGTGGAGTTGAATTGTTGGCCTCCATCCGGCGGCATCTGTAACAAAGCTGGTGGTTGTATGTTGGTGTAACGGTTTGTTTGAGAATTCCACAACACTTTCCTCCCGACATTGCATCCTCCCCATTATTCAAGTAGACGTTTGTGTATGTATCGAGTAAACAAATTACCGTTTCCACCGGGCGATAGCTGATGCGGCATTGCGTGCTTCGAAGATAATATCCAGGGAGACTACTGGTAAACGTCACCCGGTTACACATTCGTGCATTCGGTTTCCGGGTTCGAAATTCGCATGATCCGGCCTCGCTTATGAGGCGAATATGGAAATGCTAAACGTGGAAGTTGACATATCTCAACTCTATCTCACTCACTCCAATTGATTTATAATAGAATGATTTTAAGCTGGAAGGGAAATGTGTTATCGGTCACGACATTTAGTAGTCCCATAAAAGATATTTTTAGACATTGATAGTCATGATTCTAACCCTATTTTGTATTTTATACGTTTTCATTGATGTTGAAGTTATCTCAAGAATCCGGCACCATAACATTTTTAGCAACTGGATATTATATATAAAAGGTTGGAAGATTCATGCTATTTCAAAAAACGAGTATTTCTTTGGTTACCCATCTCTACTTTTGGACACTTTTCTGTGTAATGCTCGCTCTTCTCTGAAACGTATGTCTTGTTTGGTAAAACTTTCCAGAAGAATGCACTTTCATAAATATTATAAACTTGATCGGGAGTTAAATTCAGGTCATACACTTTTTTTATAAAAAAGCTAAAACTTTATGGCTGTGGCGAATACTATTTTCCGCGAGACTCTTCTTGTAACGATGAATAATGTAACTATGAATATAGATGGTTAAATCAGAGTTAAATTTGAGTCAGTGTAACTATCATACAAGAAATAACTATAAATAACTATTAATCTGAGTCATTATTTTAATAAATGATGAAAGCTTTCAACTTGAGGGAAACTTTCTTAATTAACCAGCTTTGCCTTAAGTGTGTTCTCACTAATTAATGCAAGTCCCAGACGTTCCTAATACCGCAAAATCGACGATTTGACTGGGATAAATCCTGACGTAATTATTAATCCGACACCGGAGGACGCCAATATCTCTTATTCAATGTCCGATAATTAACCTGAACGAGGTCACCCTAACTCTCACCCCAACCCTCACCCCACTCTCACTCCAATCCAAAAGACAACGAAAGGGAAGGTCACAACACCCCATTTTGAATGGATGTGGATTGGATCAATTATTCGAGCTACTTTAAGCCGTTTTCATCATTAACGCATAAACAAATTTGATTACAAATGTTTAAAGAAAACCCCCAATAATTAAACAGACCAAAATTTAAAAAAAAACGTTTTTATAGTGAAGTAGAAATTCTCAACTTTTATTTTTATCCCACAAAACAATTTTTATGTTCTCTAAAGAAAGTTTACTCCGTAGGGAAGCACAAACTTAATCGGGTTATGCAGGTGGTAAACTTCTCTAAGTTTCATCGTGGTTTTCTCTAGAGTTGGACCAACGTCAAGAGGAATCTTCCCTCCCATACACTCGACGACGACGTCGCAACTCTCATTAAGAACGTTCTCAGACTACCTCTTATTGAGAGTCGCGTCCCGGTGTAAATTGTTAGTCATTCAAGTTAATTCACGTGTACCACCCAAGAGTCGAGGTTAAAAAACTCTTTTCTGTATGAAAGAAGTTTTTCTACAAAAATGAAGATGTGTGTACCTACTAGGGATGCTAATCTTAATTAGAAACATCCCCTAATTAATAAGAGTGCCAAAGTCGCGGGTCTCGCAATTTGTTAAGGTGGGTAATAAAAGGAAAAAGCTGTGACCGTTTTCCCAGGCGAATGTTCTCTCATTTCCCACAACCTGGGTTACCACTATCTGGCCTGTTATCAATTCTAGTGTCCACCAACACTCCGAGGTTACTTCCAATAACCACCAGGTCCGACGATAATCAAACTCTCCAACTCCCCTCTGATACCCTATTGTATCCGGAAACAATTTCCCGTCGCACTTAGGGAGGAAGTTATTGTTTTTATGACCGCTTCATCAGGGGGGACTCCCTCTGAGATTGCGATGAGGAAATTATCACGTTATCAGCGTTTCCTATCGTTAAACCGATATCGTTAACACATTCTACTTGTTTACACGTTAGCGTGGACCTCGTTATTAAAACGGTTTATGATGTTTTTGTTCTAACCTAGATTCGATCTTAATACATGACTAAATTTATGGATTTTCAACACACCTAAGTTTCTCTGTCTTAAAAGATTTTTTCATTTTGTAATCAAGATTTTTTTATTTCAACGACTAAAAAAAACTTATTTAATTTCACACCTAAAAGTAAACTGGGGTTGTCATTTTCAGTCCGAGGTAATGGTCAAAGTTAAGTGGTCAGGAAAGCATTATGGGTAATGGACATCTCGTTCTCTCTCTCTCAGTCTGATAATATCGTTTTTGGTCTGAACAATACCGAGCGCATGATTAAGCTTTTACGAAACCGCTAAATTGGTGTTCTTTCCGGGCCAAATGAGCACCCGGCTCTCGCGTTAACTGTAAACACCGTTGATTGCGCTAAAAATTAAAGGAGAAAAATGAAAGCGAGAATTACCTTTAACTAAAAAAATCATATCTTTGTACTTATTAAAATTATGGCTTAAATATTTTTTTTTGTTTCAGATGTCATTCGGCATCGTTTTATAACTGACTACAACGATACCTAAAATAATTCGGTAAGTATCTTATAAGAAAACTTCTTAATGTTCTTAAAATCGATCTAATGAATCATTCAAAACGCAACTTTCACATTATCATAACATAAATATTTAACGAATAAATCGGTAATTTATAACTGATACACCTTGGGACTACTAGCAAAAGTTATGTCTGACACAAAATAAAAGTTTAAGGTCGATCGAGAGGCTTCACTTTGGAAAAGTTTCCTTTGAAGTGCTCCTTTTCCCCGAGTCAAATTTGTAAGTGTTTCGTTTAAGTTTAATGGCTTGGTCAGGATCGGAAGTATACGCGACGGTGAGGAAGGAAGCGAAAAAGCTCGAAGCAAAGAAACTCGTCGAGGAAGTCATGAATATAAAGAAATTTACTTGAACTCGAAATAGAGTTTGGCAATTTTTCGAATAACGGTCGTTTGAATTATAACCACAACGAAAATAAATTTAAAATGAATCCATTTAATGATATTAAATTGCATGATGTTCATATTTACACCGCTTGTTCCAATTAATTGTGGTTTTACTGTTAATTACAAGGCTTTTCAATGTTCTCGGACAGGTAATCAAAAATATCCGAAAATTCGTACGTGTAAACAAATAATCAATCAAACTGAGAACAGCTTGCCAATTTGTTTGAAATGTTTACAAATTAAATGTTAATTAATAATTTAATTAATAAGAACATCTGATTTTAACAAAATTATTATTTTAATACTTCTTTGATTAATAATACTGCAACTAGCATTGAAAATTTCATTTTAAATCAAGGTTTCGAAAGATTTCCTGGACGTTGTAATTTGAGGAAAAAATTGAAAAAGAATTCAACTGAGAAATTGCGGAAAGACAAAAATTTCCGCTATTTTATTATTGTCATTTTCCTTGTAACGAAACTCAACTCTTATTGAAATTAAAATTGTGCGGTGTGGTGTAAAAACGATATTGTGGAAAAACAAGGATTTTTGAGCCGGGTTGCAGTTATTTTTCATATAACAATTTATTGGAAAAAGCATTACATAATTTTTTTATCGTATTCTTTACAATCTTATTTATGTGTAACATTTCTCTCTTTCTGTGTTTGATGTACCTGTTCGATCTTTTTTATCGCTGGATCATATAATTGATTTAGTTTCACTTTTGGCACAACTTGAATTTCTTCAAGAGATACGATTTTATAAAATAGTTTACGATTGCAAACCAAAAATCTATCCTTCAATCTTCTTCTTAAAGTCACAACCTCGGCAAAATTGTACTATCCTCATCTTTATCTTCTATTATAAGTCTTAGGAATTACCCCAGATGTTCCGTCCATGATATTTCAATCATTTTACGAATTACCCACATTTCAAAAACTTTAAGTCGTCGCATCGAGCGAACTTCCAGCTCCATGATTCATTCCCATGCAGAATGTTGAAAAAATATTTGCTTTCACGAATCTGGGATGGATATGATAATGGATATGAGAAATGCTCCAAAAAATTAAGAAAAAAATGTTATCAACAATAAATTAATGAATACAGCTCCTCGATATCGTTTTCTTTCCTTCATTAACTTTTAGAATTACAGAAAAAAAACAATTTCAAATTCCTTTTATACTAAAACCCCACACGTCTTATTTCCTTTTCATCTCCGATCCCCTTTTAAAAAATACACACATAAGGTAATTCAAGCGTAAATTTTGTGTGGAATAAACGTAGTGGGTTTTATCTGCTCTTTTTTCGTTTAGGCTGGAAGAGGAGAATCTAGCACCACAAATAAAAGCACCACACTGTCCCTGACAGCTTGAAATAACATGCCCTAAATGCGAACTTCATTTCGTCGGATCCTGAAGCTTTCTCTTCTTGCTCTTTTCCCTTTCCCATCTTTCGAATATATTCCGCGGGTAGATTTCGTTTGTACGAGAGAGATTTTACCATTCTTTCCCATCCTAATGGCCTAGCTCTGCGTCTTCGTCGCAGTTATAAATGCATAATGTAAAAAGATCTGATGCGGTCGCCCACCTTTTTAGAGATTGAAAAGTGGAAAAGATAGAAAATGCTCTAGCAATTATGTTTTCTCTTTGGCTTTTCACAGAAGGTTGAGTTCGGTTGAGTTTCAGTTCGTGAAGGATTTCTTAAACACGTCAATTATCCCGGAAAATTTTTCAATTTTTGCTTTCGGTTTACTTCCCCGCAGCACATTCGCCAGTTCATTCTCATGAGGGAATTGAATTTAAAAACTTTACGTGACGTGCCCGCGTGAAGTTTGATAGTTTTAAACTGCAACAAGGAAAATTTTAATGAAGTTCACCGCTCTCTTCTCTCTCTATGATGGAAAATGTTTGCCGACGTGAAAGTTTATTACCGGATGGACTCATTTTTCTAGTAGGACACTTCCTAAATTGCCTAATTTAAAATGAAGAGGAACACTTTGAAGACTTTCAAATTTTATTATTTAACACTTATTCAATTTTATTATTAAATTAGTAATGGAGTATAAAAATAATGAAAACGTTCAATAGTTATGAAGTCATGGGCCAAATTATAATCCAGTAAGAAAAAATGTGCGCAGTAGTGAATCATTTAGTGTCTACATTATTTTATAATTGTAAGAAAAAAAAATTAAAAACAAAAACTAAAATCTCAACTGATTAATTCCTACAATTCTATTTCGTCCGCAATTCTACTTCGAAACTTTCAACCTTATTAATGAATAAAGTTCAGAAATGGAAGTTTTTGACGTTTTGCGACCAAGCCGCCTCTGGAGGCGACACTTCGTCTAAGCTCCCGCAAAATTCCATTTTCCCAACGTTTTGTTTATTCAGACCGGAAAATAAAAACTAGAAAAAGATGTGTACGATTTTCAAATAAAGTTAAATTGATTTGACTTTTTACAGAAACATGTGTAGGAAATGAAACAAACTTAATTCATTAAATTATCCTAAAAATGTATATCGAAAACTTTTCTTTTATCTGTTATACCGGGAATTTCATATAACTCGCAATATACAGGGTGATTTATTAGCTCACCATCAAACTTTGACATAAGTCCTATATGTCCTAAAAAATGTTAATGAACATATATGTCCTATTTCAATTATTTACGAAATTATGGGTTTAGCCGCATGTCTCTAAAGACGGCTAGCCATGCGTCTTCAGACATGTATTGACATGTTGCATTTTATGTGGGACATAGTAATTACGCCCTGGATTCTATTGAAATACAGTGTGTTAATTAATTATCGTACCCGACGTCATCCTTGCAAGTATGCAACCAATATCACAGTATACGCGATATACGTATTGCAATACCAATACTGTAATATTGGTTGCATACTTGCAAGGATGACGTCGGGTACGATGATTAATTAACACACTGTATATTTTTGTATAGTGTATCTTAAATGAAATTCACAGTATTCATGAAAATTAAATGAAATTAAATAATTTATTTATAAATCTTTTAATATTTTTCAATTTTTAACGTTGTTATTTATTATTAAAGTTGAATTTCAAATAGAAATAAACTTAAAAATGAAACAAAGTTGCGTTTTTGTAATGATTACTCGAAAACGTCCCACCATCAATCCATAACGTAAAATTGATTTATACAGGTTGTCCACGTATTTATGGACTAATATCAATCATACGAGTACCGAATTCGTCATTTCGTTGTCGACGTATATCTTATTTTAGGACGAGCGAACGGGAATTGGGGCCAAAAACAGTTTTATGACGAATGTAATATAACCACGCTAACGATGACACTAACTTTTAGATTATAATTCACCGTAAATATAAAAAAGAAGGATACGATAAAGAGTTTTGTTTTTGAAAAGGTTCAAACCGCGACAATATAATTTTAAATTTTCTAAAACATTAAACACGTAAACAGGATGTTGTGTACGAAGTATTTTAGAGAAAACAATAGTAGAATTGGAACATGAAAAAAAGGAATGAAAAAGTAATAAAAAAAGGTTTTTTTGTGAAACTACAGCGCTTAAAAACTGACAAAGGTAGGAATGGTTATAACCAAACGTGAACGTATTTTTATCGCATTTTTTATTGAATGAACTATATACATTACATGTTTATTTGCAAATTTCATCGCAAAATATTTATTCAATTCACTGAGTTTTATTTACATCGGATTAAATTAATTCTTGATTTTTTTTTTGATTCAACAAATATTTTACATATATTGCATACATTTTTTAAAAATATTTTCAGTATTATTTTACCGTAAATTGGGTTTTGAAGAGATAGGATCGTTGTTCCGAAAGCTGAACATTGCAACCCGGATTATTCGACTTTATTCTATTCTGTATCACGACATCGTAAGGCGCAGGTCGATAGGATTAAACCCGGTTACAAAGAGGAAACTTACAGTTATTACACTCTTCTTACTGGGTCACTACATCGATTTGAAACCATTTTCTTTTCACGAACATAAAAGGTTTCACTACCCATTTCGATTTAAAATTATGGTTTATGAATTGAAATAGAAGATAAAAACGAAACAAGCATTTTTAACGCGGAGAGTTTTGCTACTTCTTTTCCTTTTTTAAGAATGAGAAGTTATGCGGGTGTTGGTAGAGGTATTTAACCGGGAGGTACGAATACAAACGAGCTTTCAGTTTGCAGAGTTCTTTAGCGTCCGCGCCCGTCTCCTTAAAAACCTTTTCCTCCTCTTCCACTACCTCCTCCTTCCCCTTCATTCAAAAGCAAACAAAACGAAAAGTGTCGTTGTTTTCCGGTCGCCGGAAGTCGCCGTGTTCTTCGCGAAAACTCTTACACTAGAATATTACGTACCGAAGCTTTGTTATTTTTCCTCTGCTTACTCAGATTCCCATAGCTCGAGGAGAAAGAGAGAAAATAACGCGTACCCGATACATTATGCATGTAAAAGTAGAAATGTAGAGCAATTGTAATAGTAGAGAACAAAAAAAAGTAACGATTCTTTTAAAAACCTTAACCTTGTTTTCTTTCTTGAACATTGAAAGGATTTTTTTTCCTGATTTACATTTTTACGGTTTCTGTTTTTGTAGTTATCTGAGTATTCAATTTTTTTTTCAGTTTTCTACCTGCGTTATTCTGGATTATATTTCATAAACATCTCCGATAACCCATTTTAGTTTTTTTGCCGTTTGCAACGTTGAACACAAGCACATAGTACGGGATAGAATGAACGGTTGTGTTATCAAACGTGAAAATATACTGTAGTGTATTTTGACACCTGCAAACCTAACTCGGCGATGAGGGTGAATGTGTACACAGGAGATTACACTGCGCGCCGTGGAAACTTAATAAAAATTTCCATTCTGATACGACGATAAAGCACACCGCGCGCTTTACTACCAAATTAAACTGCTACGTGAGCTAAAAACGTCCCAAAACCAACTCAACCCAACTCCTACGGTTTCTGCCAAAGGAGTTTTATATGCAAATGTATAATGTCTGTAGACAGACGGTCAGATACCAAAAAATGCAAAGTGAAAAATTGTTGTAAACATTTTGATGAAAAGTTTTGATTTTTCTTCTTTTGATAAAATAAAATATAAGAATAAAAATCTGCAGAAATTAGATTAAAAACATTTTTTGACATACGTAGGGATTGAAATGAAAAGTCTTTGACTGAACGGATGTTCCATGATGAAAAACGAAAAAGAAACTGGTTTTCGACAGAACCAGTTTGAACGAGATCTTTGGATGGAAAATTACTGTATTCAAAAGAACAGGACCGTATTTGTTTGGTATACATAAATAAATAATAGATTCGCACGTTAATGGAGTGCTCAGTGGAGAAATTTCGACTGGGTTTAAGGGATTAAAAGTGGACCCTAAAATAGAAAACAAAATCAGGCTTACCAGGAAGCGTTAGAACTATTGGAAATAGAAGATAACGTCATAAATAATCCAATTCGTGGAAATTCATGCAGTGAATTTCACTTAAAATGCAATGTACAAAAGTATATTTCCATAGAAACTAGGGCAACATGTCTGAATGCTTCTTGTTGTAGGTCTAATGTTAGTTCTAGTGACAGTGATAGATGCTAGTTAACATAAGATATCACTATGTTGCATATTTTTATTCAATTTAAGCTAGAACTAACACTAGACCAAGAAATAGAAACTTTCGGATTTAGCCGTCTTGAGTGATGTGCGGCTAAATCCGAATGATTCTAGTGCTAGGTCTTGTGTTGGTTCTAGTTTTACACTAGCACTATCACTAGAATTAACATAACACCTAGAACTAGAATCATTCGGATTTAGCCGCACATCTCTCAAGATGGCTAAACCCGAATGATTCTAGTTCTAGGTCTTTGGTTAGTTCTAGTGGTAGTGCTAGTGTAAAACTTGAGAAACTCTTGAAAGACGTGCGACTGAAGTATTTGTTTTCTCATCAACACCTAGATGACAATTTTTGGAAAATCTTCTGTTATTGTGTCACACTGCTTTAAATATCTTTCATTTCTCGTCATTCCCCATAAGTTGTGTTAAGGTGATGAATCTACTAAGGTGACAATCTTTCCTTTATAAAATCAAATTGTTTGAAATTCATCATACTTTAAGAATCTTTTGAAGTATAGAAAACAAAATATAGAAATATTTTTCTTTTTGTTTTAGACTGCAGCAATGTTTATGGATTATTGGCGTTTTTTCCTTCTTCTATGGATACCACCGATTCTACTAACAACATCAACAGATATCAGTAAGTAGCTTTACTTATATATTTCATAATTCAAGTTTTCATTGTAAACACCAACATACCGTAACAAATATGTATAAAAAAAATATTTTGAAATAACCTAGGAAATGTTAGAACTAATATTAGTGCGTGCTGTGGATGATTTGATATTCAACTATGATGCAGCTGGCAAATGGTTCCACTCGAAACCGGAACATATCCTCCTAGGCCACAAAGTACTTGTCAACAAAGTTAACAACAGTTCGTGACGAGTTAGGACTCAATTAGTCAAAATCTCCGATACGACGTGACTGGTTCATGTAACGCGCTTTGCTCTATTCGCGAACGCTGAATAATGTATTGGTCAATTTATGCGGATTGCTGATTGCCAAAGCTCGACCGGATTTCGCTTGTCCAACCTAATGATGTTGATCCACAGAAAAATTTTATAAGTACAAAGGGATTATTACTAGATAAATCAAATAAACAAAAATTAATAAAGAAAAAGAAAATATTTTAATATTAAAATAAACTTTGGTATTCCGCTTAACGAGTAAACATTGACACATATGGTTCAATGCACAAATCTCTTTAATCTTAAAAATTCCCTTTCATCATCGTAACTCGTTACGATTTTAGTTTAAACATGAAGAGATTCGAAATTCTTTGAAATTAACGATTCAAAAAAATTTTATACGATTGGGTGTAGTTGAAATTTACAACTTAACAAAAAAATTTACATAATCGCGAGGACGTGGTTCGGAATAGTATCTAGTAGAAAGTAGGTAAAGGAAATTCCGTTAATACCGACCGTGTCGTATATATATAATACTTTTTCTCGTTAAGGAATTTCAAATAGGGTCATTTGCATTAACTAGCCGCGCGCGCATTCGACCGAAAGATAGATTCGGGTGGAATTAGTGCGCGAAAAAGGGTTTTTGGGGGAAGGGACGTAGAAAAGGGGTCGAAGATGGCGAAGAGATTGGGGTAGAACCGACCGAGATAACTCCCCAACAAAGGAGAATGTAATTACGGCGATTCAAAAATACTCCACGAGGTAATATCGGTTATTTTAAAGATTCCAACCGTGGATATTTCCGGAGAACCGGAATTCCAAATTATAAGACTTGCTTTTTTTCTTTTCCGCTTTCTTTTATCTAAGTTAAAATTACAAGAAACTGTTACAATTCCTTTTAAACATTAACTATTAAATTCAAAGTTATCTTCAATGTAACGTATATTATTTTACTATTTACATCTAGATGGCGCCGATTTATTCTAAGCATAACTATTATATTTATCTATACCAGCAATTTTGATATTTCCTTATCAAATTAAGATCATACTTCACAGGATCATTTCTGTAGTATATCTTCACATACTCTACATTCAATTGTGGAGTTGTTGCAACCGTGATGATGAGTTGTAGCGTTGTAATCTGAGCGTGAGGAGGATTGATTGAAGGTTTTTATAAACCTTGAATGAAGTTATCGATGACCGTTCACTAATCTCTTGAGATTAGCTACGATTATAACGCAATCCGAGCGGTTGCAAATCTTTATGAATAATCTAAACTAAATCAAGAAAAAATTTTTTCACTGTTTATGTGTGGCATCAACTTTAGATGTTGGACAAGCTCTAATAATGTTGCAGAAGGTAACATATTTGAAAATCTTTAAAATCCTAAAAGCTCTTGGAATTTATTAGATACTTTGAAAATCTTCACAAATTTTTAAAAATATTTTGGCAACCTTAGGAAACTTTCTAAGGTTTTAGGCTATCTTATGCAGGCTTTTTACCTATGCATAAAGCAATAATAAATAAAAGCCTTAACCTTCTAAAAGGTAAATTTTTGAATAAATGTCATCATAATGATGATTTTTAATATTATCTCACACCTTTTCCTAGATATCGACGATGCAATAGTGACACAATTCAATTCAAAAAACAAATATTCTACTTGGACGATATATATTCATTATTCAACGCCACATAAAACAAGCTGCGAACAAGAGACATCAATCATATTGAAATTAGACCGGCTATCTTCGGTTTTCGTTCTAAAATGTATAATTTAATAATATTTTTAAAGTTGTTTGGTTTGATTTCTATTTTAAAGATTAAAAATGATCTTTTTAAGTGGTCATAACTCGTAAACAGATTATCAAGAACTCATGTTTTTGAGTATATTGAGACTATTATCACGATTTACAAATATATCTAGAAGTATTTCAAGATTTTAACAAATCCTTAATGAATCGGTAATCTGATTTAAAGGTGACCATTTATTATGATCAATTTTGATTGTAGCGCGTCAAATGTATTCTGTAGAGATTCAAAATAAACATGTTTTGCTGTTTAAAGTTAATTATAAAGTTTTACAACCGCTCGGATTGCGTCACGACCATGATCTATCCCAAAAGATTAGACGAACGATCATCGATGACTTCATCCAAGACCAATAAAGTCTTAGAATCAATCCTTCTCACGCTCAGATCGCAACGCTACATATCATCATCACGGTTGCAACGACTCCACAATTGAATGTAGAGTATGTGAAGATATACTACAGAAATGATCCTGTGAAGTATGATCTTAATGTTTTCGTTGTATCATCAAAGATGTTAGACTACAAAGATATAGTGATTTTTATGAGAGGACTTCAGCGCCATCTAGTTATCATGGACCTTAATGTTGTTGGAGATATTGAAAACATCGGTTTTTGTATTATTTTTTGATCGCATCACATAATTATCTAGAATATAGGTCATTTTAAATAATTTCAAATGAGGAAGAACAACTGAGCAATGCATAAACCTTAAAAGTATTTATGAATATGTCGATAGATTTTTTTCTAAAAGGTTTTCTAGGGATTCTTAAGATCTTCCGCAAGTATATTTCGGGAATCTTTTTTAAATAATATATGTTCTCAAAGTAGAATTATCACGATTTCCAAAAATTTCTAGTTTGTACCAGTGATTTTTAAAAAACACTTAACAATACGTCACTCCGATGACGATTTATTTTGATCAATTTTGATTGTAGCGCGTCGAATGTACTCTGTGGAGACTCAAAATAAATATGTTACGTTAAAATTAATTATAGTTTAGCAACCGCTCGGATTGCGTCACAACCATGATCTAATCCCAAGAGATTAGACGAACGATCATCGATGACTTCATCCAAGACCTACAAAGTCTTAGAATCAATCCTTCTCACGCTCAGATCATAACGCTACATATCATCATCACGGTTGCAACAACTCCACAATTGAATGTAGAGTATGTGAAGATATACTACAGAAATGATCCTGTGAAGTATGATCTTAATGTTTTCGTTGTATCATCAATGTTGTGAAACCACAAAAATATAATGGTTATTATGAGAAGAATCCAGCGCCATCTAGATGTCAAAGTTCCTAATATCTTTGGAGGAAATACCTATACAAAGTTAGCCCCCAATTAGGTAGGATTATACATAATGTATAGTATTTTGCAACAATATATTATTCGAAAACCTAATTCTTGACCAATTCGAATATGGAAATGCCCGATTCGAAATATCTTTCAAATTACGCATAACCGCCTTTGTGCTTTATGACCTTTTTGTGGTCATAACTTGTAAACAATTATAATAACAACAACTCGATTATCAAGATCTAGAACAACAAAGTTTCTCGTGATATGAGATGATATATATCTTGGATATATATGTAAAATCATATCTAATTTGGAGCTAACTTCACATAAATATTTCTTCCATCGATATTAGAGACTATGGCATCTAGATGGCGTTGGATTCTTCTCATAATAACCCTTATATTTTTGTAGTATCACAACTTTGATGATACAATAAATACATTAAGATCATACTTCACAGGATCATTTCTGTAGTATATCTTCACATACTCTACATTCAATTGTGGAGTTGTTGCAACCGTGATGATGATATGTAGCGTTGCGATCTGAGCGTGAGAAGGATTGATTCTAAGACTTTGTAGGACTTGGATGAAGTCATCGATGATCGTTCGTCTAATCTCTTGGGATTAGATTATGGTTGTGATGCAATCCGAGCGGTTGTAAAATTTTATAATTAATTTTAACGTAACATATTTATTTTGAGTCTCCACAGAATAGATTTGACGCACTACAATCAAAACTGATCAAAATAAATCGTTACAGGAATGAGGAATCGTGAAGTATTTTTTTAAAATCACTTGGACAAACTAGAAACATTTGGAAGTCGATACTTTGAACATATTTCAAGAAGATTCCCTGATAATACTTCTGGAAGCTCTTAACAATCCCCAGATATCTTAGAAAATCTTTTAGAAAAAAATCTATCAACATATTCACAAATACTTTTAAGGTTTATGCATTGCTCAGTTGTTCCACATTCGAAATTATTTAAAATGACTTATATTCTAGATAATTATCTGACGCAATCATAAATCATACAAAAACCCATGTTCTCAATATCTCCAATAACATTAGGGTCCATCATAACTAGATGGCGCTGAAGTGTTCTCCTAAAAATCATTATATCTTTATAGTTTAACATCTTTGATGATACAACGAAAACATTAAGATCATACTTCACAGGATTATTTCTGTAGTATATCTTCACATACTCTACATTCAATTGTGGAGTTGTTGCAACCGTGATGATGATATGTAGCGTTGCGATCTGAGCGTGAGAAGGATTGATTCTAAGGCTTTGTAGGTCTTGGATGAAGTTATCGATGATCGTTCGTCTAATCTCTTGGGATTAGATCATGGTCGTGACGCAATCCGAGCGGTTGCAAAACTTTTATAATTAACTTTAACCCGCGAACATGTTTATTATTGTGTCTCTATAGGTTGATACCGAGATACTAGAATCAAATATGTTTATAATAAATCACGGTAGCGATTTACATTACATAATAATTTATCTATATATATAATATATATACAGGGTGTATAAGGTATGAGTAGAAAAAATTTGAGGGGTTATAGATCTCATCTTTCTAAATAAAAAATTCTTTAACACAATGTCCCATTCTTTATCCTTCTTAAGATATGATACGATATAGTTAAAGATTCGCAAGTTTGAGTACTAGTGGTTAATGAATTATACTAAGCAGGGTTTGTTTTACAATTTGTAATTTGTTTCTAGTTTTGTTGTTTTTAATACAATTAAGCAAGTTTATTTATTAAAACCTAAATTTTTGTAAACTTTCACATTAAAGACTGATAAAACAGAAGTGATAAATTTATTGGTATAACGTAAACAACCTCTAAAAAAATCTCAAAAATGACTTTTGTGTCAAATTAAAGCTATATACATAAGCAAAGCCTGCTTAGTATAATTCTTTATACGCAGTACTTAAACTTTCAAACCCTTAACTTTATCGTATCATATCTTAAGAATGGCAAAACGATTCAATTATTTTCTACTATACCTGATACACCCTGTATATTAACATAACCAGAGAAAATTTGAAAGTGAAACTTCTAAAATAACTTGAGATATACAAAAGTTCTTAAAAAGTTCAAAATATCTGAAGTTAGTATGCTTCCAGTTACTTTGATGTTGGATCGATGATGGATTCGCCTTTCCATACTTTAAGCCCTAAATCTATTAAATATATATATTTTTATCTCTTGTTTAAAATAAATAACTTGATATAATCTACATTATAATTTTTTTCATTAACTTACTATAATTGAATATAACCTTACTAAGTAAACTACTTTCAAAATAGCGACCTAAATTCACATTTGAAGGACAATATAGCTTCTGTAATAATACTACCCACATTTTCAGTAACAGAAACAAACAGACATATCGATCTTTTACAAATCCATTATACAAAGCGCTAAATGACATGACCATACGTGCTTGTTCGCGATCATTGGATGATTTGGCCGATCGCAGATGCATACTTCATGTACCTGTCCCATGATCGTTGGAGCTCTTGATTAAAAAACAATATTTTCAAATACGCTTGCGCCCGATCCTCGATTGCTAGTCACGAGGCGTTATTACATATACATATAAAACCACAAAGTTACATGTTGATGCTAAACAAATCAAATAAAAATCACTTTTGATTTAGAAAAGATAAAAACTGTCTCCAATAACATTAGACTTTAACTCCAAGATGGCGCTAGACTCTTCTTATAAAAATCATTATATTTTTGTTGTCTCACAATGTTGATGATACAATGAATACATTAAGATCATACTTCACAGGATCATTTCTGTAGTATATCTTCACATACTCTACATTCAATTGTGGAGTCGTTGCAATCGTGATGATGAGATGTAGCGTAGCGATTTGAGCGTGAGGAGGATTAATTTTAAGGCCTGAATTGGTCTTGGATGAAATCATCGATGATCGTTCGCCCAATCATTTAGATTGTGTTAAGATCGTTACGCAATCCGAGCGATTGTAACAATATTTATAACATACTAAATTATTTTTATTAGATACCCCACCTACATAATTGATATTACAATCAAATGATATTCCCACAGGTTTATCGACATCCTGTCTTCCTATATTTCCTGCAATGTCTAATTTACCCCACCTCAAATTCAAAACCCATCCCTTCTACATCTCCATTCTGGATTGCATCCATTCGCTTAACGTATTCCGGCGCAAATGCAAATTAAAAGTGACGTAAACCTGTCGTGTGCAAATACATTCAATACATTCACCGTTGGTGATGGGGTACCAGGGAACCTTGTCTACCTCACCTAGAAATGAATAAATCGATTGTTAATCTAAATGTACAGGTTATTGTTAAAGCGGAGAAGGATGTGGTGGTAGAGATCGATAATCACGCCCAATCCCAGTAAACGCGAAACAAATTAATCGATGGATTCACCGTTAGAGAGTTTGTTGGAGAATTGTTAGAGGTGGACTAACTGGCCGTTAGGTTGAATGATTCGGGAAGAGCATCGACCAAATCCACAATTTCCATGACATAATTAGTGCATTCATGACATTCTAACAATCAAATTCATAATTCGGTCCACTGATGTTTGAGTCTACCATTCGTAATTTCCGCCTCGATTATTAGTTAATGGCCATTTCAACGGGACGTTATACAAACAAAGTGTACACGGTCACGTGTATATATTATTTCCACAAATTTTCTCTATAAACATCATTATTGAGAAATCTATGTTTGTGGAATATTCATATTGACAAGCAATGTAACTATTTACTTGTAAGTTACTCAACCATCACATTTGTCTAAATTAATAATCTTGGTGTTTTGATACGGTATAATATTTTCACTACATTTCATTATAATGCTTTTTCCAAATTTTATATTATCTTATCAACTATCTTTGCAATGTAATCCGATTATTATTAATTTTAATCACATTGCGAAAATATTTGTATCGATTTTATTATAATAAAGCAATTTTGAGATAATAATTAAATCGGTTTTGTTTGAACTCTTTATAAAATGTTAGAGAATTCAAAACAGTACGACAAAATTAATCATCAAATATTAATGTACAATTATAATTATTATTATGAATACTGCCCCCAAACGCAGGGATGTGCGATTAATCACAAAAAGCATACACGGTAATTCACCCAATGATTCGATGTTACATAAATCAGAAATAAATTGCGACTGCAACGACAATATAAATAATTATTTGTCGAGGGGGATTCCCCAGCGTTGTTATTTATTAAGTCATCAATTGTATTACAGGCAGAAATTGTAGTCGGGGCGTAATTTATTTCGGAAAACAACTACAATTATTATTCCTGGTGGACATTTCTAGTGGTAATATGTGAACGTGTGAGAACAATATCTCGTTTTCATAACATGTTTTCACAAAAAAAAATACAATGTCAAATTTGTTTTTCTAACATTTTTTTGTCGGTTCGAAAATTGCTTCTCACGGTCTGTTAATAACCGTGTCAAACGCAGACTTTGGCAATTTTAAGTTGACGAGCTGTAAATTGAGGGTGAATATTCTTTGTATATACAAATTCCGTTTTTATAACATTTTCTTTAATTACCAAAAGATAATATGATCTCTATCTGGAAAGATGAAATTATTTTTATTTAAAATAATAAAATCAAAATAATATATTTAAAAAGTAGATGCATTTCCATGCAATTGCACGTGCCCGGAATGACATTGTTACCCGATTCTGGGACGAATCCGTAGAGTTCGGTTAATCAACGTTTGCAGATAACGAGGAATTATTGAACGACCCACCCGACAACGTTTCTGGCAAAATTACACCCAGCTAAATCGGCCGGATGAGAATGCTTTAATCAAAATTACGAGGCTCTATTGGTTTCGTTATGACTTTTTTTATAGAGGTCGTGTCATAAAGAATAGAAACTTTGTAAAATCGATGTACAGTAGTTTAATTAAACCAATATTTTTAGACACTTGTAAAGTTGATGACACAACTTTCCTTTCAAAACTAGATTAAACCACAATATTTTAATCGCTACAAGGCTAAATCCAAGCCACTTAAAAACTATGTGGAAAGAATGAAGACCGAGTTAAGAAGACGTGTGAAAAAAATTCTATAAGATTGGTCAAGTAGTTTTTATGATATCGTGTTCAAGAGTTGGAAAAAAAGATATAATTGAATTACTACAATCCTTTAAATGTGTATACATTACATTACATTACATAGAATACATATCGGGTAGGCGGACCAACCAACCTTGCACCGCGACCCTAAGGATCTATTGTACCCCGATAGATATCGTTATCAAATTTCACCGTGCAGTCCAATGCTCTTAACGAACATTGATACCTTGCTCGGCGAAAGGTCATTCAGATCTTTTGAGGAGATAAACTGCGACCTAAAAATCGAGAATCTGATACGGTTAACGGCAGGGCAGTGGCATAAAACATGCTCAACATCGTCGGCTAAACCCAACAAGTTGAGGTGTGCTTTTAATCGGCAGTGCCCAGTAAAAACACCCATTAGAACTTTTATGCTACTACGGGCAAGTCCTAAAATATTCCCGGGTTGACTGGAGAGCGGCTTGACTGTCTGAGAAAATTCGTACTGTCATGTTCTTCACCCCTCTTTCAAGAAGGATTTTAGCACCCATGTCAATAGCAAATACTTCCGCCTGGAATACAGTACAGTACGTACCCAGGCTGTAGGCTTGCTTAATTCGAGGTGTCTGGCAGTATACTGCTCCTACCCCTTCAGGCGTTTTTGATCCATCTGTGTACAAGCAAATGTCTGCCCGAACCAGAGAATTTTCATTTTCGATCCAGGACTGCCGCTCAGGCAGTACAATCTGGTATCGAGCATTAATCACTGATAGTGATACCGCTAAATCTGACGGCATTGATAGCACAGTATCAGTGCTTATAATGTCTTCCGCAGCCCATTGATAGGACATGTCGGAACAGTTTTGAGCATATTGCTTAAATCTGTAAATGGTTGTTCTAGCCACTTTCTCTATATGCAAATGCAGAGGAGATAGGCCAAGCAGAACCTCCATTGCTAGAGTTGGCGTTGTGCCTATCGCACCAGAGATTGCCAATCCAGCTACTCGTTGAATTCGTGAAAGTTTACTGATAACTGAAGTCTGTCGGACTTTCCTATACCAGGCTGCTGCTCCGTATGTGATCATAGGTCTAACCACAGTCACATAGAGCCAGTACAGTCTTTCAGGGGTAAGACCTCAATTTTTTCCACAAAGACAAGTCCACAAGGACTTGTCGCAGTCCACTTGTATGCACTTGTATGTGTATAACTCGAAATCGTTTTGTCCCGACACTAACAAATTATACATTCAGTGAATTTTACTTAAAATGCAATACACAAAAATATATTTCCATAGAAACCAGGGTATAAATCATAAAATGTAACATGTCTTCTGAATGTTTCTAGTTCTAGGTCTAATGTTTGTTCTAATGACAGTGGTAGATAGCGCTAGTTAACATAAGATATCACTATGTTGTATGTTTTTATTGAACTAAAATTAGAACTAACACTAGACATAGAACTAGAAACATTTGGAAAACTTTCTAATTCTAGGTCTAGTGTTAGTTCTAGTTTTACACCAGCATTATCACTAGAACTAACACAAAACCTAGAATTATAATCATTTGGGTTTAGCCGTCTTGAGAGACATGCGTCAAACTCCGAATGTTTCAAGTTCTCGGTCTAGTGTTAGTTTTAGTATTGTACTAGCACTATCACTAGAACTAACACAAGACCTAGAACTAGAATCATTCGGGTTTAGCCGTCTTGAGAGACGTGCGTCTAAACCCGAATGTTTCTAGTTCTAAGTCTAGTGTTAGTTCTAGTTTCGCGAAGTTTGCTTTATTTTTAGTTAGTAAATAGTTCATCCGACTAAATTGGGTTGGATTCAGTATTTGCCTCTAAACAGAACCAAATTTGATCTCAAATATTACGTGTTATACGACTCGAAGTCTCAATTTAAGTAATCTTCTTAAAGCAGTTATTAATGCTGTGTTTGTACTTCCTTCATAGTTGAAACATTCGAATTCTCCTCTTCTATACCAGTTCTGAACTGATGGTTAAGGTCAAAGAAAAAACAGTTTTGGCAAAACGTGCAAAATTTATGCCACGACATTTTTCAAAGTTTTGGTAAGATGAATTGGATCAAATTTTCAAGGTGCATACTAACCTTTATCGTACATATTTTTTGTCTAGAACTCTAGAAAACTTATTTGTATAACAGAATTTAATTTCGCATAGTTAGATATTTTCCTATATCTATGTTTGGTATTATGAACAATATTTCCTTATTTTTAAAGCGGGTGGTTGACCGTAGTTTTAGCACCAGATTGAAGACGAAGTTTTTGCAAGAGTTCTTGCAGTTAATAGATTCATTCATGAAGATTTGCTACTTTCCAAATGGAATACGCTGAAGTAGCAAAAATTGCAAGAATAAATGACGAAAGAACAGTATTGAAGATCGAAGATCTCTACAAAATTATTCATATGAGGTAGTGGACTAAAATCTGCTCAACCTCAAAGTCATTGGACATTTGGAGATCTCTGTAATATTAATGCTGCAATCTAGACACGTTGTAGCTGTCGTTTTAAATAATTTAAAAGATTCCATTATTCCGTGATACATGTCTTGGAGATAACCAATACTCCACATCACTTCGGGAAGGAATAATCTTACGTAGCTAATATCTTAGCTACGTAAATATTATTGCGGAAATAATGTTTATGATTTGTAAAAAATATAGAAGGAAAAGTTGGTTAATAATTAAATAATAAAAATTGACTTTGTTTAATTCACGTGACCGAACTGAACCAACGACCGTTGAGCAAAAGTTGGTAATTTATTTAGCAGTGGCGCAGTCTCGTAGGACTCGGTTATTAAATTTCAACAGGACCCTGTACTTTTAGAGCACGACAGCTCGGCTATTATCAGTCGGTGGTAACTTTCTGGGAACAACTAGTAACGAAGTTATAAACCTTTCGATGATGTAATATGGTTCATATTTTCTTTCATTTTCTTTTACTCTAAGTTAATATACGCTTAAAAAAACTTGTTTAACTTTATATACATTATTTTTATTTATTAGGAAAAAGAGATGTCCAAAAATATTCCGATTGGAGACAATTATGGTACTCAAACGCCGAAGAATTTGCAAGAGCAGAAGGTTCAGCTGGAGAAAATAACACGGTGACTAATGTTACCGTACAATTGGGTGCCACCGCTTATTTACATTGTCATATCAGGACATCCGGTGATCGAACGTTAGCAGGAACTGAGGTAAAAAAGCTTTCAAAATCATATTTTTCCTTCCACTTCAAATTAAATTAACTTTCCTCTTCGCACACTGAAAATTTTATATTAATCAAACCTTTAGAGTTGAGTTTACGAACGTCATCTAATTTTCAATAATGAACCAATTAAAACTTAATGCCGTTCCACTACATCATCTAAAGTAACCTAAATTGATTTGCGGCGAAGCCGCACTTTTCCATTAAAACGAAATTAGAGAGAAAAAGAACGTTTTAAAAAATTATTACAAAACTAATAAAATGTACGTAATGTTTGAATCGATCACCAAACCGATAATTCATTTTGTTGTTTAAATTCGATACGCAATTGACCCAAACCGTAAATTATAAATACTAATGAATCAAACTCGCTCAGAGTACATTTTTAACTAAATTATACCCGTTTTCAGTCAACCTTTAGTTTTAACCGATAATTATAAACCGCTATGTTTCCAATTATTCATAATTACATTGCAAGTTGTGACATAATTTGATCACTTTTTATTTTGAGTTAACCACACTAATTAATATCATGAGTATTTACTTTTATCTTTTGTAATACCTAGTTACTTCAATTTTTCGTATCGTTCGTTATTAGGTTAAAATTATTGATCTCTTCTTACATTCTCATATTCCGAGAACGAATTTAGATAGCGTGTCGGAAACCAGAGATTACGTTCCATCAAGGCGAGGATGGTTAAATACCTCAAACATATCCCGTCTTCAGACGCTGACGCACGCTTTTGAACGTGTTCGGATTTCGAAGGGAAACGTCGGCACCTTCCATCTCTTAACACACACTTGAAACGGGGATTTAACGAAACGTGATTTTAATTTTTAATTAAAATTTAATGAGGAACCTGTATAATCTTACACATAAATCCATTGGAATTTAACTAATCTTAATAAAATGTAAACATATAAATAATCTATAAATAGAATTAAGTAATTCTAATTTATTGTAAAATTTTTCTCTTTAGCCTGTATCGTGGGTACGAAGAAGAGACTGGCATATCCTCTCTTCCGGTATGTTCACGTATACGAACGACGAGAGATTTCAAATTCTGCACGCAGAGGGTTCAGACGACTGGACCCTGCAGATAAAATACGTCCAGAAGAGGGACAACGGCACGTACGCATGCCAGGTATGTATGCAACTCGCACACAGCAGGTACCTTCCTCCCTGTCCCCTGGACCTTTACCTGAATTTCAATGGATCCTGCATCCGCGCGCACACACAAATATCGAGATAAATGAAAATTAAAATCTGGGTGTTCTCAAAACCTGATCAAAAATTTATTCGTTCATAAAGAATGGGGTTCATAAAAAAAGGATTAAGTTGGTTTTAAGGAATTGTTAGGTAGTTTAAAAGTTAGTTTTTGATGTAAAATGACGTTTTTATACATTTTAGTCTTGAGGGAATGAAAAAAAGACAATCAAAACGGAATTATAGCTATTCCGGTGAATGTATAAATCTGAGAGTTACAAAATGGGAACGCAAAAGTTAAGCTCCTGCACCATAATTTCGGTTATTACAAATTCCAAGGGAAGTAAAAGATTTATAAGCTCCACTCCACCAGCGGCCAGATGAACTCTTTAATAATTCGTCGCCGTTTTCTGGAAACTCCAGAAGATAAAATCTAACAGGAGCACTACGAAAAAGAACGGAACGTCGTCATATTAGTATTTTCATCAAAATAAGCCCTTATAAGTTATATATTTCACGAACACTTTAATCAAACAACCATACAAATTTAAATACTCAATTTTACTTAATGTGTTTCTTTTTTTAGGTTTCTAGCAGTACTGGTACAATTTCACATTTTGTTAATCTACAAATAGTAGTCCCTGAAGCAACAATTCAAGGTGGAAGTGGTGAACACCATGTAGACGTCGGCAGCGTAATCGATTTAGTTTGTATAATTGAAAAAGTAAATTAAACATGTATACAAAAAAGAAAACGAAGTTGTGAACCAATTTTTTTTTGTAGAGTCCAACACCTCCTCAATATGTCTTCTGGTTTCATAACAATCATATGATCAACTACGATACCGCAAGAGGAGGTATAAGTGTTGAAACTACACCGGGTGTTCGTACGCAAAGTAGACTTACCATTAGAGATACAAACGATGCTGATTCGGGAAATTACACTTGTTCAGCTTCAAATACTGAACCAGCATCGATATATGTATTTGTCTCAGAAGGTAAGAAAACAAAATTTAACAAAAATTTTATCATTTTGCGATCTGTTAATTCTGAGGTTGCTAGCTGTCACGCCATCTCTTTGGGGGTCTCCTAGGTGATCTTAAACGGCGGGGGGTTATTTACAAGAACAATTTTCGGAAGTTTATCATCATTCGTACGCCTCACGTGATTATTCCATTGTCTTTCCCGCTGTCTTCCCCATCTCACCATGTCTAGAACGTTACATTGATTTCTAATATCCGAGTTTCTTACTCTGTCCATTCTCGTTTTCCTTGCAATTGATCTTAGTGTCATTATCTCAGCCACTCGTAGCATGTTCTTGGTTTTGTTTATTTCTGTCCTCATTTCTATTCCGTATGTCATTATCGGTCTTATACACGTCTTGTATATCCGAATTTTGCTGCCTATTCGCATATAAAGGTTCGACCAGATTGTGTCTCTTAAGCACCCTGATACTGCAGATGTTTTGTTAATTTATTTATCTCAAGTCTTTCACTGGATCATGACCGCTAGATATGTATACACCTAAATAGTTAAATTGCATGACTTGTTTTATTGAATAATTATCGATTACGAGTTTAAATCTGATCGGATCTTTTGCAGTAGTCATGGACTTGGTTTTATCAACGGAGATAGCCATATTAAGCTTACGGCTTACTTGCAAGAAGTGGTAGAGTTCTCATCATACGTTGTCTTCTGTTCCTCCGACTATTGCTGCATCATCCGCGTAGCACACCATACTAAATTTCTTGGTGTCCATCACATACCCAACATTTAAGGATGTTACTTCCTCTATGATTTGATCCATTATACGATTACACTGGTTTACAGTGGTTTTGTTGCCCTAGATATAAGATTGATTTTGGATATATTTGTGCTCACAATTCATGAAACTATCAATGATTTTGTAAGATTTGCTCTCGTTTTTTTTAAATCTTTATTTTCATTTTACATTACAAAAATCGGAAAACAAGAAACAAAATAACAGATATATTTATAATATCAGTTTTGTTTTGAAAAATTAGGATATATCGAAGTAAATAGAGTTATTTCCATAAAACACCTTTTATGAGCTTTGCTTTTATAATTTTTCAACTCTTTTTAAAGACCAGCAGTAATCTGCCATCATGTGACAATCCCATTGACCCTGATACCTTTCCTCCATCACTTTTAGATCCTGGTGGAAGCGCTCTCCCTGTTTCTCACTATAATTTCCTAAATTATCAGAAAATTTATGCAGATGATTGCGGAGATAGTGTAACTTGATACTCATTTTTGCTCCTAGAGTCTGAAAGTTTGTCAGCAAATTTTGTACAATTTCTTCATAATTTAATGCTTTATGGTTACCTAGGAAATTTTCGACTACCAACACAAAACTTTTCCAAGCTTTACTTTCCGGAACAGTCATAATTTTAATAAAATCTGTGTCTTTTTGATCAATTGCAGTATTTGAGGACCATCAAATATTCCACCTTTCAACTTTTCCATACTAGTCTTTTTAACAAATGTAATTAAAATAATCTCTTTCCTTGTCCAACGCTTTTACAAATTGCTTTATCATTCCGAACTTAATATGGAATGGTGGAAGTATGATTTTGTCTCTGCTCACCAACAGCCTTATTACATTGGCTTTACCAACAGTTAAAGAATTTCTTACAGACCAAACATTTTGTTCCCAATAAAGTTGCTTTGCTCTACTGCTATGGTATATACGACATAATTTATTTATATCTTAATATCTATTTTTATTCCTCGAGTTGTCTATAGGACGTATAAATCAAGGAAAGTAGTTCTAGTTTTAATTGTTATTATATATTTTTATTGAAAGAAAAGTAGAACTAACACTAGACCTAGAACTAGAAACATTCGGATTTAGCCTTACGTCTATTAAGACGGCTAAACTCATGTTTCTAGTTCTAGGTCTAGTGTTAGTTCTAGTTTTAGTTGTTATTCAGCTTTAAATTGTTGTATATTTTTCATTGAACTAAAACTAGAACTAGTGCGTCTTCACTCAATCTCACTCCCATTATATTTTTATCTCCTTTTAATGTCAAAAATATCACCTGTCGAGATTTCTTCCGAAAATAATATTACAAAACAATACACAATACATGTTACATTAGTAACTATGGGAACTTTGAATTTTCAATGACTTAAGAAAGTAAATTTTTAACGAATTGACATTTAAAACGTCTCATTTAATGAAAATGATATGAATTATAAAAAATTAACCATGATAAACAATTTTAAGTAAAAAAATGTTTTTTATGTAATTATTCAAACAAAAATACGTAAATATCGTTATCTTTATAACTTTGCTCGTATTTGTCGCGTAGATTTTTATTAAAACGTAACATAAAACATCCCTATAAGATTCAAATAGTTTTGCAAAAAACGATGAACAGTTTACATGCTCCAACGTTAATAGAATACAAAAATTTGAAATTTTTAGTGACAAATTCCCCGGCTCTCTTTAATATAACCAAATTTGTTCATGTAAGTAAAAATAAACCCAATAAAGTAAAGTATAAAAGAAAAATTAAACAATTATAGATGCTTCAACAATATGAAGCAAAAATTTTAGTTCGAGTTTGCGAAAAAACTTACGACGATCTTTCAATAGCTTCTCATGGCATTTTAGTTGAAGAATTAGTATTTCCTGATGGTTCATTTCCGGATGCGTTTATAATACAACAATGGTCAGCGATTTGTAAAAGCTATTTTACATCAAACCCAACTGGAACATTGGCTGTTCATTGTGAATCGGGTTTAGGTAGAGGTCCGGTTCTTGTAGCTATTGCTTTAATCGAATTAGGAATGCAACCGGAGCATGCAATACAAACAATACGAAATAAACGCAGGGGCGCGTTTAACGAACACCAATGCGAACATTTAATCAAATACATTCGGGTTGATAAGAAAAGAAAAATGAAATGTATTGTTATTTAATATAATTTTTGAATAAAAATTGTAGTTTTAAAATTTTTGTTGATGATTCTTTTATAGGGGACAACGTAGATGCAATTTTAATGAGGAAATCATCATCTGGATCCATAACGAAAGATTTTCTTCTACTTTTTTTGGCATTTCTCAGCACGTCTTTACGATAGAAGAAGGAAGTTTAAGATTCTTTGGAATATATCAGTGTAAAAGGACAATGATTTCATTTCATATTAAAAAATATGATTAAAAGAAAAAAATAAAGACCAAGTTGTTTTCTTTACAAAAAAATAGTACGTTTTTAACGATTATTTCGAGTTATTTTTAAATACATTTAGTAACCGTCCTAAAATTAATTATTTTTACTAATTAATTCATTACAAATTGTTTAAATTAACTAAAAACGTACTATTTTTTAATTGAATCTAGATAAAATCTAAAAAAAAATATTTGTTAACCCAATTCTGTTTAAAATATCAATGTAATAATAACACCAGTTTACATATTCAACAAAAAATTGTTTCCATGACATTACTCATTTCTTATGTAAAGTTGCATGTGAAATTTGGAGCTAAAAAATGTTCTACTTTCTTAATTTCTACCTTGATTTTACATAAAAAAATGTTATATCGTGTCACGGATGCAAACTGCTATAAACTAGTGGAATTAATACTTATTTAAAACAATGAAAATGGAAAAAAAGAAAAGTATTAATCCAAAAATAGTCTGTAAATAGATAGTTGATATAAAACTTGTCCCCCCTTTAATGGATAGATAAAAAATAATACGTATATCACCCGTAAACACAACCACCCTTTACAAAAAAGAAACGTGGCATTCTTAAATTTCTCGATATTTTGTACATAAATTTACGTAACTAAAAAGAACACGATTTAAATTTTAAATAAATTAATTTAAATATGGGACTATCATTTCTAAGAAAAAATAAACATAAATAAAAAGTTAAAAAAAAGATGTTGATTGTGGATATTAAAGCAATTCCTAGTCATATATACCATTTGAAATGACTTAAACAATGAAAAAGAAACACGATTAAAAATAAAAGATAATTAATTAAAAACGTTTGAATTTTTTTTGTTGTAATAGTAATAAAAAGAAATTTTTGAAAACATGTGCCAAATTTAAAAAGTAAATTTGGAAGCTTTTGTTTTCTTATTAAAAAGATAATAACAACAAATTATTTCTTGATTTATTCGTGTTTTTTTTTATAAGAAATCATTCATAACAAAAATAATAACGTGTAAATAAAAAAGACGGAAAAATTTACTAAGATTAAAAATGAATGGTGTATAAATTATGCGAATGGCAAAAATTAAAAAAAAAATGACTGGAAAGTAACGAATGATTCATTCATTGTGAACTGAATGAAATAAAATATTACGAATATCTATAATTATAGAATATGTTAAATAATGGTATCTATATTGGGTGGGTTTAAACGAAATTCTTATTACTATTTTTATTTTTTTTGTGAAAAGATCTAAATAGATGGGTTTCTGTTATACAAATATGGAAATGTTAGGAAATTATGGAAATGTTGTAATAAAACAAATGAAATTTTATTACATTGAAAAAATAATAAATGAAAAAAATGTATTTACTAATTTTAAGCTATAATTATGTAAATTTTTTGATTCACTTACAATAATAAATAAATATCACTGAAATTGTTGTTCTTATTAACCTTACTCTGATTTATTTTTCAAAAAAGTCTTTTCGAGTTTGTCCTTTCCCTTTTTGCCTGGTTATCCTTTCTGCAGCATTTTGCGCAACATCTTGTGGGCACATGTTTAGTTTTTCTGTTGGTGGAATAAATTTAGGGAATTTGACAACTTGGCATTTGGCCAGTCTCAAAGGTCTTGGCTTTTTATCATCCTTGTGAATACGTGATGTTGCTGAAATAATGTTTTCACAAGATTTATTCTGAATTTTAAATGATCGTCTCCTTTTTAGTTTTATATTAGTTTATATATTTAGTTCGATATGGTCCCGCTTCAGAAATTATGGGATGCCCTGATTGATGCAGGCATCAACAGAACTTACATCCATGCTGTGAAAGCGTTATCCAGAGATAACGCGGCAGAGGTTCAGGTAGAAAAACTTACAACTGATGTTTTCTCTCCCACAAAAAGTATCAAACAGGGATGCTGCCTCTCTTCCACAATATTCAAGATCTATATCCACTCAATCCTAAGGTATTGGAAAAGGAAATGCAATCCCATGAGAATATGGGTAGGAGGCAGCCACATACACACCATGCGGTTCGTGGACGAAATTTTTGCAGCAGACGAAGAGGATATGAGGTATATGTTAAATAAACTAGAAGGCAATAAATAGGGAATGAATAAAGATAAACCCAATTTGGCTTTGCAATTACATTTCCATCTTTGTCCTTTTTCCATCTGTATTTATTTTCATAGTTATGATCGATAACTCTAAAATTCCTTAAGACGAAATATGAATTAGTAGTGAATGCGTGAAAGATAAATTAAAAGCAGAAACACACTATGAAGCCATTCAGTCGCAAAAATCAGCCACTGAGTCAGAGAATTACCATAGACAGAGATGAGAAAGGGGCTTTACCTGCTACACATCTCTATCTCTATGGAATATGCAAACCTAACAAATGTGCTAAAATATTTTTACAAAGCTACACTCAACATATCGTCTGCTGCTGCATGTACTTCAATTATCATATCACTACTAGCGCTGTTAAACCATAAGCTACAACTTCAAGATGAAAACCAAAATGAAGACTTTATTAAATTAAAAACATCTAAAAGCAAACCTGAAATATGAACTTGTCATTAACAAGACCTTTAAACACTTAAGTCAATTAAAAATCAAGCTCGTTTGATGGCGTTTTTCAAAATTTACAATGTAACTTTAAGTCGAAATTGCTGTATTACTATAATAAATGTATTGATAAGGTATAAAATAAAGTTATTTTCTTTTATTTATTCTGTTAATTTAAACAAAACCATTTTTTCCTTTTTAATCTGTTCTTTCAAAATTAATTCGGTAAATTTTAAAATTTCATCGTAATTTAGAACATCTCCACTATTCATTTGATGCACAGAACTCATCCAATCCCAAAATACACGTTCCATTTGGATAAACTTTTCGTAACATTCCAAAATCATAATCTTCTTATCGATATCGCATAAAAATTCACGTTCGTAACGTTTATCTTTTCCAAAAGCTAACCATTGCATTAATGTTAACTTTCCCAATGGCTTTGTAACGTCTTTATTTAATTGGGATACAAATTTGTCAATTGCAATATTTGTTTCTTCGATTATTTTTTCGTTAATTTTTATCTTTCCTTTAATCCATTCGATGGTTTGTTTTTTAGTTAATTCATCTTTATTCCAATTTAAATCTAAACGGTGTGATTTGTAAGTATGAGAAATCGGTTTTAATGTTTCTTTATAAACGTTCTCTTTTAGATAATCATATAAGAAGCCATTGTTGATTAAATAACCAAAGGCTAAAAGTAATTGGTAACTTCCTTGAGTCATATCTGATGGTAAACAATAAAAACGTAGCGATTTATATTTTAAAGAATGGAAAATTCGTTTAACGTCATCCACGGATGAATTAATTGTATTTTTCGTTAATTTTTTTAGTAAACACCAAAAAATCATAACCTAATTAAATAACCAGAACGAATTAGATCACACTTATACCTAATTTAATTATAATTTACCGTTTCATCATCTGATTGATCAAATTTAGCATGTCGAAAATGTTTAGGCTCAATTTGTACATTTAAAAGAAGATTTAATAACTTTGAGAGGTTCTCTAACGTTCTTCGTATTAAATTCTTCATTTATTTCACTTTATAGGTTTTTAGAAAGTCAAAAAGACTTTTAATTGTCAATGTTAAAAATGTATTAACTTGGTGTTACTCAAAAATTGATAGCTTACTTGACTATTCCAGTGATTGTGAGATGCATTTATTTTGCGGAATGTTTAAACGAATTGATTAAATTCCTTTAGTATAAATTGCATATTTATTTTAATCAATTATCACATATATATAAAATACATTTATACAAAATACATTTCTCACCTCAAAAAAATGTTAAAGCCATCAAAAATGATTCAATTTATCATAAAAATTCATTGTGTGGATTCAGTACAAACACCTAAAAGTTTAGTAATACTCATCGTTTTCAAACAATAAAAATGCTTAAGTATCACAAGATTATCAAAATACAGAACAGTAAACACCAACAATGATCAATCAAAAAAAATAAATATAAACATCCGTCTAAATTTTTTATAATGTGCATTAATAATAATAACTTTTAAGCGAAACATTTAAGCTACTAATATGTAAGTCTCAAATAGCAAATAAATTAATTTTTCCTTTCATACAAAATAATACTATTATAACAATATCACAATGGTTGAGACAGTAGATGAGCGTCAGATTTCATCGGAACGTCGTTGTGATGTAACATTAAGCTTCCAATTAATGAAACTAAAGCTCTATCGAGCCACGTCACTGGATTTGGATACAATAGTCCGCCTTCGTAAAATCCCAAATGACCTCCATGTGCTAACTGAATGTATAAAGTGTTATTGTGCGTCTCTAAAAATGTAACAATTAAAACTACTCAAAAAAATTATTTCAGAAATAATTTAGTTTACCAGCATAATTCCGTATTGGATCTAAAAGCGCATCTGGAACTATTGGATCATCCAAAGAATTAATAAACACCATTGGAGTTGCAGTATTATTAATATTATTTAAATAATTAATACTTGAGCTCCATTTATATAAATCCGAAATGGTTTTAAACGAATGTACCCGTTTTGTGTAAGCGTCATCAAGTTCCGGTAATGTAGCGGCGGAAATAATTTCGTGTTCGTTTAATTTAAAACGCGATTTCATTTCATCCGACAGCAAAACTGTCCTGTGACGTAATATAATGGTTTTCATGTTTTCGGTCATTATGTAAAGGTAAAAGCGACGAAAGTTTTGCCAGTTTAATAAATATTTCGTTCCCCTGCAAAAAATTACACTGTTCTCTGAACTAAATAAATTGTAAAGCTCACTCAATTGCATTGTATCCTTGACAAACAGAAATCGCACCAATTATTCCTAAAGGCCGTTCGCGATCAGTTTCACCCATATATTTTGTTATAAGATTACCACCCAAACTAAAACCAACGCAAAGAAACTTACTTTCTGGATACTTTCCGGTGAGATGATTCAACATTTCGTGGAAGTCATTTGTATTACCTATAATTAATAACAAATAATAAAAAATGGTACGATTAAAATATAGTGTAGTTTTATTTTTACCATAGCTAAAAATTCTTGGTGAAGTAACTGGTACACTTCTTAAAGCTCCGACATGGTTCAAAACGGCACATCGATAACCGTGACATTGAGCTAAATGGACAAAAGTTCGAACGTAAACGCTCTCTGAAGTATTTCCAATTCCTGGACAAACCGCGATAGTAATTTCATCTAAAAAAAATAATTCTAAACACATCAAAACATTTTTATAAAAACTTTAGGTACCTTCATACGCGGCCCCTAACGGTTGATACAAATCGTATGTTAACGTGGCATTATCTGTTAAATAAAGATAAGTTCTTTCTCCCGTTGGCCACGGACATTTTACACGGCCGACGATGCTGTGAAGAATCGTTTGAACATGACCGCTGAAACCCCATAATCTTGTAGGAATGTATCTAAATAAAATCAGAAATCAAAACGTCAAAAGTTAAAAATACGTTCGCTGTTTCAAGCGAAGAATTCGATTATTCGCTTTATAAATATATCTAAAAATATCGTGTATGCAAAACAATTTTCAAATCACGGAAATATCTACTCAAGATAATTATACTTATGATTTATCGTACGATATAATAACTGACCCAAACTAAGTTTCTTATGAAATATTCATAACAATTCTGACCTTGGTTAATAATGCATGACGATTCGTCATAGGTTTATAAAAAACTATTGCACGCTGAATCAATAACGAAAAAATCACTTAAAGGATTTAAGTGGTTCAAAAAAAATATATTTACATAATAACTCAAAGTAAGGAATTTTATTATAATTGAATTTAAAGTTCACTTTTAATTTTGCATTATTTGAATTGAAATTATCGATAAAAATTACTTAAGATTTAAGTAATGTTAAGTTTATTACAAAGCACAACAAATTAAATTTATTTCATAGTAATATTAATAAAGATAAAGGTTTTAAGTGATATTTAAAAAATCTACTGATAAGAAGAATTTGATGTCTTGCTTCTTCTTTTTTCTAGATCAATTCGTCATCAAATCAGTCATCAAATTCGTTTATAGTTATAAATATGAAAAAATAAACAGCAAACCGATTACAGAAACAATAACTCTTAGTAGAAGTCCACCTTCCAGATAAGCCTAATCATCGCAGTCGAGCTTGATTTAACAAGTTTAGTGTTTCCAAATGTTTTTCTGGGAGTTAAAATGATGCTGGATGTACGCCTTTTTCCATGATGAACATCAAGTATATTTTTATAGCTCAAATAAAAACTTAAGATAAGCATCATAAGATCATGATGATCTCAAATTGAATTTTTAGTAATGAAATCTTATCAGCAACATTATTATAGTCATAAATCAAATCACACTCGTAATTTGCAACATCGTTTCAAAACAATATTACTAAAATTTCGAAATGTTTGGTAAACAGATCGTCTCTTTAATGTTTTCAACTCAATAGGCTTATTTTGGTTCAAGAGATCTGTAGTTCCGAACAATTCTAAATCTTTCTGCGCATATTTAAATGTATGCGCAGAAATAATATATTAATAAACAATAATAAATATAATAATATTACACGAAACGAAAGTATGATGAGATATAAGAAGGCCCGCATTCACAACAACCTCGTTCACCGTTATCTCTCTTAACACAATAACAAAATCTATGATGAGTGTTGTTGCTGTTTTTTCAACATTGTTGTTTCTTGAATTACTTGATATAATAGAAGATGAAATGCTCGAACCCCATTGAATGAAGAAGATGATTATAGAACACTGAGCAAATTTGATATGAATCCATAAAGATAGATTTGTGTTTCTTTTATAATTCATTAGTATTTCTTACAATTAGTTAGTAGTAGAAAAAAAGGGAAGTAAATGTGTAATATAATATGATTGTATTGACTAAATAGATGTCTTATATTACACATCAGTTCATTTTTCATGTTAATTAAGCTTGTGGGAGCTATTAACGTAATTTATACAAAGGATGGCAAAATCAATGCAAATTTGTAGCTAAAAGCAAGTGAATGACTGTTATCATCCACGCGATCGTTAACGTTACTATTTGCATGCGACTGAAGGGTTGAGTTACGTTCAATTTACGTGCTCTGACTTTTACACATCGAGTAGTGCAGTCAAGGAGTACTGCAATCAATCTATGACTGCAGACATTTATATTTAACTATACTTATGTATTAATATATGAGGCTTTTATGTTGAAAGTGGTCGAAGTTCATTTGTCAGTTCTTGCTGTTAAGTCTTATAATAAGACTATATAATCTACCAATAGATAAAATACTTAACGAAAAAGGACACGATGTTTTAAGACTTCCTCCGTAACTAAATCCAATTGAGTTGGTTTGACTAGCCATGTTGTAGACAGAAATCTTGATTTTAAATTACACACCATTGATAACTTATGCCACGAATTTTTTGACAGATTTTCACCGGAAGAATGGCGGCCAGATGTAATCATAAGTATTTATTGAAACACCTGAACAGTTTCTTTATGACAATGTTTCTTAATCTTTGCACCATCATTACCCATATGACCTGCCCAGAACTAGGGATTTACAACTAATCTTAACATCTCAGTTGATGTTCTTCCTAACAAGATTTTTTTATGTCAAGATTTAAATTTTGTTTTGATAGAAACCAAAGTTAAAAACCCACTCTTACATCTAAATATATATATTCCCAAATGGAATTAGAATTCTTAAAGCCCTATCAGCTAAAATAAAATATTCGCTCTGCATTTTTGTCCAAAACGGAGCTGGGTCACAATTTTGGAATTCCACCTTTCAGGTACTGTCTTCGCGTAGTTCAAGAAACTGAACAATTTCTATGTCCGGGAAATATTGGTTCAACGAATGTATCAAAGAAGATAGGTCCTGAACTATGGAATCAGTGAAATAGCATATTTCTTAGTTGTGTGCGGTTAATGTTTCGGAGAAGTGCGTGGACATCAATGTCACTAACTTGAACTCTGAAACTTTGTAAAGTTCTAGTTTTCGTAAAAACATCAAATACACCAACATAGAGATAAATATTTGCTTTATCTTTTCTTTTTATATAGAATACGATTTTCAAAAAACAAAGTTATTTCTTATCGCATCTCAAACACTCTGTTTAAAACATTTCACCTTAATAGCTGACGTATTTTGGCATCAATTTCATGACATAACACTTTGAAAATTCTCGAATTTGTGGTACTGCTCCGAATATTATTGACAATTTTCACTATACTTTCCATAAAGTTTATGGGAACTATTATTAGCATAAGAATTATTTGTTTTAATTGAGATGACGATTTGTTTATTTGTGCGATCAACACCTTCCAGAATTACACATTTCTTATAAATGCTATATTAGACGAACTACTAATAATAGGTGTAAATAGACTTAGGTCACTATCAAAATAAACGGCTCATATATAGGATTAGAAAAATAACAGAACATCTGATGCTATTTTTAATTACTTAATGAGTCCAGTGAAAGTAACTTTTACACAATTTCTATCGACGTGCCAACATATCAACAAACTTTAATTGGTATAATAATAAACTTTCTTTCGAGTCCAATAACACCACATTACAAAATGAACAACACAAAATTACAAGTTTAATAAACTAAAACATTTTTATTCCATGATGTAATCAAACCTAAAAAGCGTTATAAAAATAGAAATATGATAAGAAACATACCTACGTTTTAAAACACAATTTTACTCTTAAATAATCGTAAAATAAACAATTAATTTTAATCAAACAATTAATTTATTTTAAATATTTGTTATAAAAATTTTTTAGTAAAGTTGAAATGTAAAAATTTTTTTTTAAACATAAATTTCTTAGTTGTGTTTCCATATTCTCTTTTCTACATATCGCATTTATTGATTACACTAAGGCCTTTGATGGCGTAATAAGAAGCAAATTGTGGTCAATACTGGAAAAAAGAAGCTTTCCTGATCACTTAAGCAGAGCAATAAAGAGCCTTCACAGACACATCGCTATAACAATAAACAGTATTTCAGATTAAGACTTGGATTTGACTACATTAATCAAGGAGATATAGATGATCTAATCAACAAAATGAAGGATCAAGTTCCTAAAGGCCTACATCATGTTTTTTTGTAAATAAAAATTTCGTTGTTGTTGAAGACATTTGGTTTTCCTAACTTCCTCTCGCTACTATCAAAGCATTAGCCCCGCACAGAGAATGCTTCTTCTTCTAAAAGTGCCATGCAGATTCCTGCGTAGGCGTTCATCGCATTTCCTATCAGATGGTTGTATTATGTGCATTCTGTAATGTTTGGAAGTCCTGTATCACTATTCACTGACGAATATTTCTTAACCACGATAATTTTTTTCTACATATTCCTCTTTTTCTTCCCTCCATTTTTCCCTGGAGAATGAGACGTTGGAGATGGTACCGTTCTCCCCGTAGGCAGAAAATGCAGGACGACAGAGTATCAAAATTGGCATTGCAGTATAAACCAAGAAGAAGACGGTCAGTGGGACACAGGAGAAAGAGGTGGTCTAAAGGTACAGGTCAACAAGGCCTAAACTATGTAGACGTTTCGTCGACGAAATTTCTTAGTTTATTTTTATTTATTTCATAGTAATAAAACAACATGTAAAAATCAGTGGATACCATAAAAGAAACTCAGGGAAGTGTAAGTACCTAATTGTTCCAAGAAAATTGCTTTTTATTGGTGAAAATTAATGCTACAAGAGATCGGGTCAATTAGTTGATTAACAACTGTCGTCACAGCGTATTTACTTCTTAAAGGAAATCGATGACGACTTATTTTATTTTTAACCATCGATTCGATTTGAGTAATAAGAAAAAAATTAATACATATACCATTTAACGTTATCGCAAGCAAAAAATCGTTAAATACGATAACAAATTGAATCATAAAACCAATAACAAAAATGACTCAAAATTTCATCTACGAATTGTTTAACTTAATCATTTATTAAATATTTAAATTAATATATAATTTAATTTCTAAAAATTAACGTTTAGTTATTACTTACTCTTCTTCTAAAAGTGGCGATATCCTTAAGATGCTCTCAAAAAACGTTTTATCTGAACACCAAATGGACGGACGTTGAGGTTGACTGTTTACATTTAATATCCGAAAGAGAACACACAATATGACAGCGATAATGGCTAAGAGGGCGGTGGACATTTTCGATGATAACCCTCACTGTATAAAGATGATGTTTTTCTTCTTCCGTTGGAACACCCCGAGGTCACAGGAGTTTTCCTACGGACGCCGATCATTCAATATACCCCCGACGACTTGAAACTTGAACGACTGTTAAAATGTCAAATGAACAAAATGTTTCTGACAGCCGGCCGCACAGATACCATAGCAACGGTGTTAATTTGGTTGCATATATTAAAAAAAATTGTGTTATTGATTTATATTTCCTAAATAAATTAATTTAGAAACAAATTAGAAATGTTGAGTTATGCAATGCAAATTTAAAAAGTAAATAATAATTTTATTTTATTATGAAATTTTTATCAAAATTGTTAATCTTGTTTTTTAAATTGTGTTAATGTTAAAACTTTCTCTTCACTTTTACTATATATAGTAAAAGTTATATATATATAGAATATATTCTGGATATAAATTTAAAGAAATACAAAAAAATTGTCATTGTTTTAAAAAGTTTTCCCAAGAAAATATTCCATTCTTAACCGTAAGTGTGATTAATTTAATTTATTTTTATTTTCTAACGTTTTTTTTTTTTTAATTTTTTAGATGTACTTTTTAAAATTGCTTTTATTCTTAATTATTATAATTGTTGTTAGAGGACATTTCCGATTAATAATTTTAACAGTTTTGGGTTTAATCGGGTTATATTTAGCCCACATTTTAGCGGTAGATTATCAAAACATCACAAGACCAACACAAATCATCAAACATCTTTTAGGAAAAAGATCGTTAAAGTTCGAAAACAATGAAAACGTCGATTCAATTTTAAAAAACGACCCAATCGATTGCTTTAAAAGCTATTTATGCCAAACATCAACAAATCCAGATAAATTAAATCCAACGGAGCAAAACATCACGAATTTAACCAGGTCAGTTATTTTAAAAAAATTTCAACCTTGACGCTTAGAAAACAAGTTATCCACTATTTACTCCTAGATGGCGTTTGTTTTGTCTTATTTCGATCGTCACATTTTATTAGTATGACCGATTTGATGGTTTGTTGGATACTTTAAGATCATACTTCACAGGATCATTTCTGTAGTATATCTTCACATACTCTACATTCAATTGTGGAGTCGTTGCAACCATGATGACGAGATGTAGCGTTGCGATCTGAGCGTGAGAAGGATTGATTTTAAGGCGTTAGCCTTGAATGATATCATCGATGATCGTTCACCTTATCCTTTTAGGATTTGGCTACGGTCGTGACGCAATCTGAGTGGTTGTAACAACATCATATCATATTAATATAAATAAAATCTGTGATGTCATTGATTGGCTACGGTCGTGACGCAATCTGAGTGGTTGTAACATCATATCACGTTAATATAAATAAAATCAGCGATATCATTGACAACTTTAAAGTTTACATTTATACAGTGTTCGGCAAAATTATGGAATAAAAGCTATTTTATTTTTCATAATTTTCCATTCGTTCGAGATAAAAAAATAGGAGTAGCCATGCGTAACCATGGAAACCAACTGTTTCGGATATCAAAAATCAATGATTGTCGTAATAAAATAGTAGTGAATTTATCCGTTACTTTTGGAAAACCTTGTACATTACAAATTTTTATATTGTTCACGAAATCCATATTGGAATTGGCCATGGAAGACGAAAGAAGTTAAGGTAAAATACAAGAACATTGCTGTAGAAATTGTCATGATATACCAGCCTTAACAACTATATATTGGGACAAAATAAAATGTGTATATAATTAAACAGTTTAATTTCTTTTAATAATTTTTTCAGATTAATATCATTTGATTATATAATTAATAACAGTTTTGTCTAATGAACAACACAAAATACATACCCTATTGCTTCTAATTAAACTAGAAAAATGTATATTTTACCTGACAACTTAATATTGGGACGATGCAAAGTAACTTCCATAAAAGTGGAACAAATTAAGATAAGAGTAAACTGTGGAAATAACGTAAAATGAAATGTTAAATTGCCGGTTTGTTCTAAAGCTTGTAACTAGTTAATCTGTATTTATCAATTAAAATGGTGCGTGGTATCTGTACAGAGTCAAAAATCCGTGAATTAGTGATTAAAAATTATTGCCACAATAAAACAATACGTGAAAAAGCAGACGAACTTAATATTCCTAAAAGCACAGCTTGGAAAGTAATTAAACATTATGGAGAAACTGGGCAAATTTTAGAAAAAAAGGGTAAAAGTTCAGGTCGTCAAAGTTAGTTTCTGATAGAAATAAAAGAATACTAGTAAAAATCTGCAAAAAAGGACGAAGAAACATTTTAAGACAAGTTACCGCTGAATGGAATAATGAAACTGGATTCTTAAAAGTGGATTAAAGTTTTACGACGTTTACTTACAAGCAATAATTAAAAAATGTCGCTTTTAGAAAATTGTTGTTTTATAAGCAAAAAAAACCACTGTTAACAGAAAAACAACAGAAAGCCAGGCTCACATGGGCAAAATCTAAACTGTCTTGGTCAGCAAAAGACTTTTCCAGGATAATATTCAGCGATGAATCGAAATTTGCAATAAACATGAGATTTTTCATAAAGATTGTTGAAAACGTTGTGTAAAATTTCCGAAGGGAGTAATCATTTGGGGCTGTATGACAGCTTCAGGATAAGGATGCTTTGAATTTATTGATGGCACCGTAAACGCCGCAAAATATCAACAAACACTACAAAACAGCATGCTACCAAGTATCGTGCAGTTAAATGTTGGCGAAAATTACATATTTCAGCAGGATGGAGCGGCTTGTCATACGGCCAAAACTACAAAAAAGTGGTTGGCGATCAAAATATTAATGTTCTATATTGGCCTACCAACAGTCCAGATCTGAATGTAATTGAAACAGTGTGGCACAAAATGAAACAAACTTTGAGGAACAACCCAGAACGGACATTGCCAGAACTTAAAGCCAAAATAAAGCAAATTTAGGATGGATTTACTCCTGAACAGTGTAGAAGCTTAGTGAATTCAATGCCCAACCGAATTCAAGCGGTTATAAAATCTAAGGGCGATGTTACTCCATATTAGAAATACAAGTCGTGCAATGTCCCAATATTTAGTTGTCAGACAAAATTTACATTTTTCTAGTTTAATTAGAAGTAATACGATATGTATTTTGTTTTTGTGTTGTTCATTAGATAAAATTGTTGTTAATTGTCTAATTAAATGATATTAATTTGAAAAATGTATTAGAACAAAATAATCTGTTTAATTGTTGTTAATTACATATAAATTCTATTATGTCCCAATATATACATAGTTATTAGTTGTTAGGGCTCGTATTGTAATTTTTATGAACCCTGTCAAAAAAAGTTGAGCATCCCGAAAAACCAGTTGCTGGTAAACCAGTTTATAATAATTTATCAAGACCATCACACGAAATAGCATCAACTCAGGATTTTAAAATGGGCAATTCTTTTTCGGTGAGCTTAAAACTGTTGCTACAATTTGACCCTTTGTTTTTGAAGTCTGAACTTTATTGACACAAGGCATTGGATGTATTTTGTCCAATAAATTCGAGGGATTTACATTTTCAAATATATCCTTGTATTGTTCAGAGGATCCAGGCACAGGAACATGTTTATAGTTTCTTCGAGAACCAGCATTAATATCGTTTCTTGAGCAACTAGGACCAGCAACAACAACCTTTATCATTTTGGGAAACAAGAGATGTATATTGCCTGGATTCTGGCAGAAAGTAGTATCGCATCGAATTCAAAGGGAATGATTCCACAGGTTCTAAAACCACTAATCCCATTATCTACGTTTGCTTAGTTACTCCAAGCTAAGCTAAGGAGCGCACTAAACTGCAACCGGGTAATCCTAAGTCCTTGAGGGATTATTGGTTATGCAGACGGAGTAAGCAGAATAGTAGTAGGTTTAGACTTGAAAAAAGCGCGATCTAAGGGCTGAAGCCAATGGCTGGTGTGGGTGTTAATTTTTTTCTGCGAAGTCTAGCATTTCAACACAGCTATTATGCGATGTGTCTAGAACGAAATAAATCACTATTTACATAGCCAGGCTTTGGAGAAATGTTTATTTCGGCACCACGTGGAAAACCGTCACAAAACTCCTGCTTTCGGTTCTTCCCTTTCATTACGCAAAAATATAGCAAGAATGTACCATCTGAAACGACGGTACCGGCACGTCTTTTTGATTAAGATTGAACTCAAGTATACACTTGAGTTATAGCGTCGAAATCATTTAAACTATATATATATAACAAAGAAATCCAGTATAAAAGGAATCAGATACTTCTCTTTTTTAAATAAAATCAGTAATTTGTTTGGAATTTAAACCATTATTTTTATTTAATACACAACATTTTCAACGTTGATTACTAGCTTCAAAATATCGTCACCAATATTTTTAGAATGTTCCATGTATTTAACCTTCGAGCGGGCACGCCCTATTTTATAACATGAACGTGCGCTTGTCATAAATTTTATGACGTAGTCCCGTATAACCTTCGAGCGGGCGCGATCGATTTTATAACATGACCAGGCGCTTGCCATAAATTTGATGGCGACGGGTTCGCATTAACCTTTTTTAATTTTCGTGCTATCTATGTTTGTAGTAGAGGCCACGCGTGCCTTTTGCAGCAAATACTTTGATACGAAAAAGTTTGTTTCGATTTTAAGTATTAAGTTATTTTTAATAAAACACACAAACTACATCAAAAATGTTTAATATAGTACTTGTTAAAAACAAAATAATCAATGGAATGGAAAAACAAATGTATCGATTCACATCAAATTTGAATGGGTTGCATGTTCACAATCTAAACAAACCACATTTACGACAGAATGTTTTTTACAAGTAAATGAAAAACATTTTGAGCATTTCATTGATGCTGTTGTTCGTATTTTTTCCATGACACATAAACGGCAAGTTCCACGTTTGGCTGACTGTTGTTCTGTAGTATTATTTTCAGCCGTCGCCGTCGATTGGGAGTAATTACATTTTAAAAATGCTGCTATATGCATTGGTAGTGGCAAAGTCGCTCTATATTGTAAATGCGGTTTCATCAAACTAATGGCTAGACTTTTTAAAAAATGTCTACGGCTGCTTGCAACACTTGTTTTTGTAAAAGAATATAAAACATACGCATTTATACCAGCAACATTTAATAAGAAAAAAAATATCGCACATGGCCATCTTTTACTTTTGCGTGATACTGTGTAAGTGGTACATAATTTATCTACTGTTTCAACTCCACATTTTGTAAAGTTATAATCAATTATTACTTCTGGCTTATTTGTGCCTTCATAAATTTTTCCTTCATTGTGTTTCGTAGATAGGAGAATGATGGCTCTATTTTTGTGTGGCACATAAGAAGCTAACATTTTGTTTGATTGAAATCCAAATAAAGTCGAATGAGTAACTCGACTTTTATTTGGTAGGAATTCTGACGGGATTTCTTGGTTATACTTTTTTATTGCTCCAATTAGTGTTATTTTTTTTTGTAGCAGATAATCTGCCAAAGCAACGCTGGTATAATAATTATCGGTGGTAAGATTTCTATGACAATTTTCAATCGGTTTAACTAATCTTTTTACAACATCCATCGGTTCGTTAGATACCATATACGGACCGTCTGGTTGCTCGCCACAATAAATCTCTAAATTGAATGTGTAAAACGTTTTTGCGTCACAAAGCGCGTAGATTTTTAACCCATATTTAGCGGGTTTCCTTGGCATATTTTGAATCCATGCGCACTTTCCTCGGAAGGGATGCAACATTTCGTCTATGGTGACGAATTCACTTAATTTGAAAGATGCTTGGCTGTTTTCTACAAATTTATCAAAGAAGCTCCGAATTGCTGCCAATTTGTCAAGTTTACGCCTGTCGTCTCTTGTAGCTTTATTATCAAAGCGGAGACATCGTGTTAAAAACAAAAATCGTTTATAGCTCATTGCCGCTCTAGTTATTTCAATACCAGTTCCATCGTTGCTCCAAATTTCTTTTACATTGGCAAAATTCGACTTTTTAAGCCCTAACAAGAAAAGTAATCCCAAATAAGCCATTAATTCAATAGTGTTGGTATCTTTGATATCTCTGCTTCGCGCGTAATCATGATTTGATCTCAGAGATTCTATGTATGTATTTGTATGTGTCACAATATCTTCAAGCATTGAAATATCAATAATTTTTTGAAATAACTCTAACTCACTAAGATTTTTTACACAATAAGTAGGGCCTGGAATTTCTTTTGTTATGTCCATCGTTTTAGTTTCTTCTGATTTTGCGTGTTTTGTTTTCATCCACGTGCTAACATTGTCTCTTCCAACATAAAAATCTTTAGCGTATGTCTTAATGTTTTCTTCATCATCTGAAATATTCTCTTCAGATGCGCTATCAAAATAATTCGGTTCAATTGCTTCATCACTCAAATCACTTCCGGCTTCACTATCTTCTTCTACTTTTAGCGAATTATCAAATAGTCCTTGAATGTTTTTTTCAATGTCACATTCAGACAATATTTCTTGTTTACATACTTCTAATATTTCTTGGTCTTCCATAATTTTTCTATTATTTAACACAAAAACACTTTTTTTCACTTAAACGACACTTTCACACATTACACTGTAACGTGGATCTTTAAACAACTTATATAGCAACAACCGTATTATAAATATATCCCGATCGACTAATATTGTGGAATACACATGAAGCTTTCACAGCGTTGTCAACTTATTAAGGGCAATTTTGTTGTGTATGACATCTAGCGGTAGAAAATACATCAGATTAACATAATCAAAATTATAAATCTAATTAACATGAGTCGTTTGTTTTGATATAGTGAAGGTAGGTTTGAAACTAATCTGTGATCCGAAGGTAGTATAATCTACGATCATTTTTGTGACCTTTAAATTTGTGCTACTTTTAACCTTTCAGTACACGCGGTAGACTGTGAGTGTGTAATTCTCAGTAAAAACGGCCGCCGGGCAAAAGATGTCGTTAATTTGAAGTTAAATTCGTGTTAACCTTGTTTAGTGGATTTCTGTCCTATAATTTCTTTTATTCTAGATGATAATTGCTTGAACAGACATCGACGCTGAGTACGTTAATGAAGATGACCATCAGTTAATGTTATATCAGATTTTGTAGAAACTCTTTTCTGATTCTAGTTGTAATAGGGTTATATGATAAATGATACATTAATGCCCGTGTCAATGTTTATCTTGCCAGTATTTACATCAATAGTATCATTTTTTTGGTATACACATAGGATGCTGAAATGGTGTTTTCACAAAACCTAAACAAACTGTATTTTACAGCTCGAAATTTTCTGGCAACCTCTTTCTACTTTTAAAAACTATATCTAGTAATCGTAATAAGAAATAGTTTGCTAGATAAAGCTCACCAACAGCTCTATACTTGTAAATCAATTCTTAGGAGTAACATTTCTACCAGATCTTTTAATTGGTTCGCAGTTTTTGCAGGACAATGCTTGAAAAATTAACACACAAACAAATGTACCATTATCATTCAGCGTTTGTTAGTGCATTTAAGTTGTATTTTTGCAAAGATTTACATTATAGTACGGAGTTAATCAAAATGACCGCTGAAATAAATTATTTATTATTAAATGCCATGGAAAATTATCAGGAAAGTTAAGATTTTTTCAAAAAGTGGATATGTCATATCGAGTTTAATATAAAATCATCGCACAAAAATAAAAGTCCAGTCAAGTCAAAATCGTGTTCAAAGCCTCTAGTTTTATCTTTATATCTATAAAATTGACCATGAAGCATTAAAACTTATATGAGTGTTGTAATAATAGTTGATTTCAATTTTTAGAATTTTTCCAAAACTTCAACATTATTTTATCGACAAACCAATACAATCATCAACATGGAAACATTGCAAATCAATTTATCCAAGATGTCCTTTTAATAAGGAAATAATGACGAAGATGATTGAATACATTGATGGATTAAAAGAATAGTAAATATAATAAGTATAAGATAATTAATAAGTATTTTGGTGATTTTTACTTTGATTATTCAATAAATTTTATTATATTTATTATAGTAATAAATGTTTTTGTACATTTATAAATTAAATAAAATATTTTTAATTCATTTTCCTTCTTTACAACAACTGGTGTTGCTTTGATGAATATGAAATTTATATTAGTAAAATGGAAAGGAATCTAAAGCAACTTTTAAAACTTCTGGAATGTAATTGTATCTGAATGTTATCGAATAAAAAGTATATAGATACCAACATACTACGTTGAATAAAAAATAATAACATTTTAATGATGGTAACCCACTTTGTGATATCTATATTGCGATGTTTTCCATGTCTCGTCCATGATGGACCTTCTCCCATATATCTATATCAGACTTTCCACTTCATTTCAATGATAAATCTGTTATTTCGCTTGCTTATTAATCTAAATCAATCTGACCAATTTTGAATACCATGTATCTAAAAAAAAGTTCACATGAGTTATATTTTCGCTCTTTATAGACTTTTTAACCTGATTTGTTTATATTCCAATTACTCCAAATTTTAGCTCAAAATTAACTAATAAATAATTAATACAAAGTAATTTTCGGCGTTTCTATTTTCTTTTATTTTTACTCTCATTTTTACAATTTTCAAAATATGGAAACCTAAATATTTTTAAATTGTTGCTTTTTAAACATTCTAACCAATTTTTCGAATTCATTTTAAAAATTAGTTAATTAAAAGGTAAGTTAAAATAACTTTCTGTGATAACATTAAATATTAAGAAAAGAAAACGCCGTTGAAAAACAAATATATTTTTTTTTTAACAAAATCTAAAAGATCTTTCAAGAGCATTCATATAATGTAAAATATGTACAGTTTCTAGAATTGCTTTCCAGTTTTAATAATATAGTTTAGCAAATGGATCGTCTTTTTTGTTTGTTGTTTAGTTCCCGTCGCTTTTAGTGTTTCCGTTTGGCGAACCGGTTAAACGGCGCGAGAAGATATAATTCCTAAATTATCACAATCGTAAAAATTCAACTAAGATTCGCGATTTCTTTAAAATATACATGCGGAAAAAAATTGACTAAAAATTGCAACTTCGGCTTTCGATCTCTTTTTTATCATATATTATGATTTGTAGTCCAACGTTAAAGCTACTAAATAAAAAAACAAAATAATAAGATTGCCAAAAAACAAATTACAAAAAAAAATAATAATAAAATAATTTAAAACGTTCTTTTTAACTGATGAGTAGTGCCTCGTTCTTTTTGCTATAACGTTTTAATCAAAAACGACACAAAATACAAAAACGGAATGCGCATAAGTTATTAATATTCGGCACAAATCATCAACATCTCTTTTTGGGTTTACAAAAAAAGATTTACAATAAACAAAATAAAGATTATGACCTGAGTGTAAAAATACTTAGAACGAAAAAAGTAATAAATGACACACACAGATTAAAAACTTTTGTCAAAATTAAAAAATAATAAAAATAAACCAATTAAAAATTTGTTTCTTTTTGTTAGTTTATCATTTTTCTTTTCAGTTGTATCGGAGTATTCTCACTTTAATTTCCATGTTGGGATCAATACTACTTGTTCAAAGCAAAAGAAAAAAAAATGTATAATAAATTTGTTGCACATCAATCACAGATTTTGTTCCGTAGATCCTCCCTGTTGCTCAGGTTGGATCAAGCTGCTTTGTTCTGAATCGTCGTTTCTAGGTGGACGTCTACCGTTACTCGACCCTGCTTGCGTTTGATCTAAATAACAAAAAAAATACATATCAACAAATACCTAGTAAATTTAATCCATATAACTTACGTACTGATCAAACACGGTGGTCCTTTCATACGACATGTATTGTATGAACCGCAATTACCACATTTTAAACCAACAACATGAAATTTTACAGTACTTTCCTAAAAAAAAATATTTAATTTCAGAAATAAAAGAATTATTTCCCAACCCAACCCTTGTCTGACGGCACAATCTTACTTCGTAAACGTATATTTAAAATTAAATAAGTTATTTTCAACAGTTATTTCCATATAGAGGTCATACTAAGCTTATTATATGGCTAAATGTGGAAACCACTAGATAGTCCTCAACAGGTTAATATTGGTGAAACAGTGGTAGACTTACTAACTTCTGGCATATTACACTGATTGGTGCAGTAAGTATAAACAAAAGATTCCTACAAAGCAATATGCAGGGTGCTAAAGAAAGACCTGTTTACTCCACTAGTTTTGCTTATAATTGGAATATAATAATCTTCGCCTGACAAGGATTAATAAAATAAAACCCCACATTTATTTCTTAACCCTCTGGCGAGCGCGTAGCAGCACTTTGTGCCGCTTTTTCCATTTTGATGTGGTATATAAATATGATTAGCCGTAACTCACTGGGCACTATGTTTAATTGGCTATCTTAGGCAATAATTAATGTAGTAATCATACGTTTTTGGGCTCTACTTAGTCAGTTTGATGTGAAGCATCAAAGTGTGTTGCTGATTTGCGGTTTGTGATAATTTAACATTATGTAGAAGAAGATATTGTCGACTTTGATGATGAAAATGAAGGCGAGAATGAAAATATTCAGGAAAGCGATCACACTAGTGAATCCAACCATGATTGACAATATTGTATCTCACACAAATATATATATTGAGAATAGAAGATCAGAAATTGTCTACCAAAGGGATAGAAATTGAAGTATTGTTAGGAGCAGTGTTAATTATTGTGATAAAGACAGGAAATCATGTAAATGTCCATGGATTATGGAACAAAAATAGCACTGGAATGATAAGACTGAGGACTGCATGTAGTTATAAGAGATTTTTGTTTCTACTTCGCGTTTTACGTTTTGACGATGTAAGAATTAAAAAGAATCAGGAAGGTTTTGTGAAGAATTGCAAGAATAGTTGCAGTTTGGAAGAATTTGTTACAGTAGATGAGATGGTACAGCCATTTCGAGGTAGATGCGGATTTGTACAATATATGCCACAGAAACCAGCCAAGTAAGCAATCTGTGTGATAGCAAGACCTTCTATACTTGGATATTCGAGATATATTGTGGAATACAAACCGTTCGACATAGTCCAGAGGTTGGTGAAATCGATAAGAAATTCTAATCGAAATATAACAACCGATAATTACAATACTAGCTATCCTTTAGCTGTTTATCTTCTGGAAAATCTCGTTGATTGGTACGATAAAGAAAAACAAAAAAGAAATTCCTCTTAAGTTTTTCAAAAAAAAATCGCGTACTGTTGTTGCACCATCGTTTTCTATGTACCCAAAACAAATAAAGCTGTAATTTTACTGTCTACAGTGAACGACACAGGCGAAGTTGACAAAAAAACAAACAAACCAGAAATAATCCTATCTTACAATAGCACAAAAAATGGTGTAAATACTGTTGATTAGAAGTGTGCGTTTTATACTACTCAAAGAGTTACCAGAAGATGGCCTCTTGCAATTATTTTTCGAATCCTAGATATTGCAGGTATAAATTCTGAAATTATATTCAATAATACAAAACCACTTGAAAAAACCCCAAAGACGGAAATTTTTAAATGAACTAGGGTTGGCTCTTATGGAAGAACATATAAGAGCACGAGCCAAAATTTAGACAAAAAGATTTGGTAGAATTTCTTTTCCAATATCGAGAGATACCAGAGGTACCCTTAGCAGTAAACTAAAATCGAAGTGGCAGGTGCAAACTTTGTAATGCCCATAAAAAACTACAGTTGTAGTACATGTCATCAATTTGTTTACAAAAATCACTCAAAAAAGACTGTCCTTTGAGATACTTGTTGCCAAATGGAAGAAGACGTCTGAAGAGAAGTTTAATATTTTGTTATTAATAAATGTTTAATTTTTCACTTATTTTGCCATTATTGCATTTTCATTTTTGTTTTAACACATGTTCTTGTTAAAATAAATGAATCGATTAGTGCAGAAAGCATACAAGTCAGTATTTCGGTCATTTTGAGATTTTCTTGAAAACGTATATTGCATATCATTTGTTATCGGTGGGTACAGAAACGATACATGTTGCAACACCAGAGCGCGTTTAAAACACCTCAATTATTCACCATTGAGCGCAGAAAGAGTAGAAATCAATGACTTGTATCTCTTCTGCAGCCAACTGCATACATTTCGGAGAACGTGCATCGTGTAATGCACAGTTTTCGTGATTCTTGCATCTTGTAAGTCAGAACAAAGGGTTAAAAGTGTGTATTTTTGAAATTATGAAGAAATTAACGTAAAAGAGGTGTCCTCAATTCTGATGATTACAAAAGAACCATCATAAAAAATAGCCGGTAAGTTCATTTGTCGCACGTAAAAGATAGTTTCAGGTTAGGTGCAATTTTTATTCCAGTGTTAAGGGCAAAGAGTATGTTAATTACAAGAGTTTTGTTGTTGCTCCTTGTCATTGTAAACTACAGTGTTTTAAGAAAATCGATGATGACCAGCAGTTAGAGATTTTTATGAGGTTCTATAATTTAGCGACTAAAGATGAGCATGATCTGTATTTACAAGGGTACATAGAAATAAACGTCGTCCACGGAAAAATACAAATAGCAAGACAAAAGAATTGCGTAATTCCACATTTAAATATTACGTTCTGGTAATGAATGAAAAACGAATGATATGTAAAAATGCATTTTTAAGCCTGCATTTAATAAGTAATAAAAGATTACAGCTTTCAGCAATTATTACAAAAAGGCATGACACCTAAAGATAAAACAGGGAAACAGACTACTGCTAATGCGATCAGTTCTATAGATAAAATACGAATTCACGAACATATTACTACATTTCCTGTAAAAACGTCCCATTACTCGCCAAAGAAATATCACTACCCGAATTCAGAATTAACAGTGAAAACTATCTATTCAATGTTTCATTCAGAGAAGATTTTGATCTTAAATTTGGTAGGCAGCAAGTAGATACATGATGCACATGCGATAACCATTTTAATAAAAATAAAGAGTAAAAGTCTAAGCGAAAATGTTAAACAAGCTGCTGTGGCGGAAATGATTATCCATAAAAGAGGTAGTAAAAAATTTTATACAACTTTATAGGAATCAATAGCACTATCAAAAGAAAATAATAATGTTGTAGCAATAACTTTCGACTTCATGCAAAATTTGCAACTCCAAAAATTCCTATACAGGATCTCTTTTATTTAAGGCAATTAACCGTCAGTTTGTTCTGTATTCATAAGATGACGACAGTTGTGTATTTTATATATCATGAGGGTAACGCCAAAATGAGGCCCAATGATTTTCTGTATCAATATATTGGAAATTATATACCTGATAATGCCAAAGAGTTACACTTGTTGAGTGACAACTGTCCTGGACAGAACAAAAATAACACTCTTATTCGAATGAGTCTTTATTTAACAGAAACAGGTAGATTTGACAAAATAGAACAATACTTTCCTATTAGATGACACTCATTTCTACCTTGTGATAGAGATTTTTCCCACATTAAGCGAAAATTAAAAAAGTATGATCGTGTTTATACTCTACAATATGTAGAGATAATAGCAAACTCTACTTCAAAACAGAAAGTCATGATTCATGTAATAGTTGAAAAGGATATTATTGCCCAAACTGCATAGAAAGACTGCAGTTTCTAAAATGTAGCTTTGAGTTGGTATTTATCATTGTAAGTTTAGTTTTTGTTCTTGTATTTAGTTGAATAAACTGTTTCTTGGAAAATATCCCTCTTTTTTATTAACTTTGGAGTTGAGTGCAGAAAGAGTATAAGATTTTGATCATTAAATCTTACTAAAAATTAATTACACAAATTTATTTTTATGATCTATGTCAAAAAAAACTGATACTAGTTGATATTTTTACTAGCCAGAAGAAAATTTGCAATTTCCAGTTTTTCTCAAACCCAAGTTTTATTGACATATATCCTTTCTGCAATTAGCAATTCAAATGATTAGTTGATGTTTTGATATCAAAATTTTTTTATTTTATCACTTTCTATGAGACGCGCTCGCCGAAGGGTTAATAAATACAAATATTTTTTACCGTGTGACAGTCTTTACATAAAATAGCCGCCATATAATTTCTATATTCTTGTGGCATAGGAGTGTGGGCTACTTCATCATCGAGAAATTTCCACAATTCCGTCATGTCCATTACAGAAGTTTGACAAATTGGGCAAGCGTAATGTCCCGCTTTTAATAATTGTTCAAAACATGTTCTATGTAAAAGATGACCACAGGCTGGTATATGGCACGGTATCCGCGACGTGTGGATATCTTCTAAACATACTGGACAATTGGCACGTGATACATTTTCCACACACTAAGAAAAAAAAAGAAAATATGTTACAAAAAAAATTAAGAAACGAATTTATTATAAAAAAAGTCCTTTTATGTCCACACCCAACCCACAACATTAAATTACATAACATATTTTTTTCTACATTATTAGACATTCCAAAATAAGATAATCAAAGTCTGAATATAGTTGATCAATAGCAATAATGACAATAAACCTGCGCCAAATATAGGTTAGAACCGGCTTCAATAGGTGCAATAATAATAATTTTATTTGCCCAACCATAAAGATAACGCGTTAAATAGCCCACATTCGGTCTGTTGACGATGACGATGGCGACAAAACGCAATTGCGAGTGTACCATTCCCCAAAATACAAACATACCAATTTTATTATAGCTTTTAATTAAAATTTACATTTAAGTTAATCGCATTATTTGTTATTATTTACCTTGTGGCCGTTTTGGAGTTGAATGGGAAGACACATATTACATGTTTCGCAATGGAAGAAACGGTCCGAACCTCCTACTCGACATATACCACAACCTGAACAGTGATATTGATTCTTGTCTTCATCATCAAATAAATTACATTCAAGACATGTATACTAAAAAAATATTAAAATTAATAAAAGTAAAAAACATTAAGTGATTGAGGTTAGAATTTTTTTTATGAAATGAATTAATTTAAATATATCTTTTATATGAGAATCATGTGGTTAAATAAAGTAAATAAGAAAGAAAGAAAAATTATCTGGTACATAAGCAAATCACTTAAGTCAATTAAAGGTCAAATAATCGTTTAACCTTTTTTGAAAAATGATCATCGGAATGATCAAAGTCTCTTACCTTCCCAAATCGTATACCACAATTTTGGCATTCAGCTTGTACAGGTTGTCGAGTTTCACAAAGTGTGCATATAAGTTGGGTGACTTCTTTCCTATTCATCGTGTGATCTTCTTTTTCATCGTGACAAAACCTACAGGTGTACACTTTATTGCAACAGGGCGTCTACAAAGAAAAGTAAAAAAGAACGAAATGTAAAAATCATCTTCAAAAACAACAACAAATACACAAAGAATTCTAAAAATATTACCACCATAAGTAAAACATTTTTGAATAAAAAAATTATAATTAGGACAATACTTTACCACAAATTTCGATTTTCTTTTATAGTGGGCACAACCAATTGTCTTAACGGTTCCTTCAGGGGGCCCCTCAGCGCTTGGTGTAGCTGCCATCGTTGTTGTATATCCTAGTAATTTATTAAATAACGTCCACGTTTTGTACGAACACTACGACGAACAGCAGCTATTGCAATACTGCAATAAATACGAAGACAACTTTTCCACAAAATCTTTCTACATATGTATGTGTGTGCGCGCGTGTTAAACGAGATGAAGTTGGTTACTAATGATCATCCTGTCAAAAAAAGGGGGCTCGGGATAGCAATTTCTACACACTCGGAAGACTGAGAGTTTATTACGAAACTTCACAACTCCCAGTTTATTCGTCTCGAATGTTTAGATAAGTAGATTGTACAATTTAAACTTCGTTGGATTACGTTAGTTGGATAAAAACAGTGGTCCTCAAAAGTTACTTTCAAAATTCCCTTTTTTATGTTATTGTTGTGTATAAATGTGAAAATAGAATATAATACATAAATTTGATTTAAAAAATGTGGTAAAATTGTGCTGAATTTAACAAAAAATGAAACTAACCTAAAATAAGATTGAATGTTGACAGTTGACAGATAAATATGAGGTTAAATTTTACTTGAACTGTCAATACTTGATTAAAAAATCTTATTAATTCGATATCAACTCAATAAAATGAATGAAAAATATATTTGCTTTATTAATGTATTAAAATTATGTTAAAATTTAATTAAAAGTATCAAAAAAATTATTTATATAAATTTTTACCTAATAAAACCGATTTTCACACATTATGGCAGATTACTAGCGTATTGAACGCAATTTATTAGTAAAATTTACTATTTCAAATAAAATAAATCTATTAAACATTGAAAAATTTCTTTCTCGTGTGAATTTAAGCTACCCAAACCTTATAAATTAATAAGGTTAATTATACCTTATATAATTAACAATTTAATTTTGAATATAAATTGAGAATGCACTCAAAAATTGGGTAAAATCTGGTTTAATTGAAAGGTAAGAAACCGTAAATTATGTTATTGTTGTTTAGTTTGGTGTGAGTTGTGTAATGATGAATTTCCTTACAAAGTTCTTGGTAATGGAATCTACAAATGAAGAATGTAATCTACATTCTGTGTGCACCCATTTTCTCCAGAATCTCCCATTTGTACCCATTTACTCAATTTACCAAATTCTTGGTAATGGATTATGGACGCAATTTACATTCTGCGTCCATAATCTACGTTCTGCGTGCATAACCTACATTCTGCGTGCACCCATCTTCTCCAAAATTTCCCATTTTAACGTCTTTTTCCTTAATCTTCTTCACTTCTCTCATAAAACTAGGCTACGGGGTTCCATCGTCATCTTCAACCCTTAACCACGAAGAAGCCGTCTGAGAGACAACATGTAAATGAAATATGTTTGTTTTTCAAACATTACTACTCCCATAACATTGTGGCCTCATGTAATATGACACCGAGGTTTATGTTCAGCATATCTCACCTCCGTGGTTATTGCTTAAGCATGATCTTTGCCGTAGATGTAGTGTCCACCATAATAAATCATCGCACTCAAAAATCTTATACTAAATCTTGTACATTTTGTTTCATTCGTAAACTAATAAGTTCAGTGAAAGTATACCCGATAGAACTTCTGCACTGGTTGCTGTAATGGTTCTAGGTGCTAATGGAGCCCCTTGCACCATATCCTCCTCTTTTCGAATGTCCTTCCATTCGTCGTATTATTTTTACCCATGTCTTCTGGGCCTTGCATTTGCTTACAAATGTTTCAAAACAGTTCCAAACGTCTCTGCCACGTTGCTTCATTAAATTTAGTTACCTTTAGTCTATTAATGTTTCATTGAGGCTTTTGCATTAAAATGGCTTTTCGTAATTATGAAGACAGTCAGTTTATATGAGGGTTCAACATGTGTTCAGGTTATGTGCCACTTCTGGGCAAGGGATTTAACACAAAAAAAATCAAATAAACCTATGAGTTTAACACTGATAACGAGTGGAATAAAAGAGAGATACAGAAGAAACCAAAAAATTGAACCAACGTAAACATGGCTTGATGTTGCCATGTTTGTGTTGATCGTGGCCTCATTGTCAGTCACGTTGGTGTTGATGAAACAGATCGCAATAGCTCTTTTTACTAGCACGCAATAAGTTATATGTTCTTTTGCAGCCATAAACCAGATCGAAAGCAGTTTTTACGGCAATCACCATCTGGACTGCGGTTTGGTTGGCAGAAAAATGTTGACTGTGAGATCTTAGCACCCATGATGATCGGATACTTTTAGCCATTATAATCCATAGAAAATATTTATATTATACAATGGATTTTCCATGGATAGCAATTTCTATTACAGGGACTTCGGTATGACCACAAAAATAGTCCAACTCACTTCAAGACTCTCTGCAGTTGGCTATTCCAAAAGAAGGTTTTATCTAGGATAACTCCAAGTTATTTCAGCTATTCATCTATATTCATACTATACATAAAAGAGGTGCTTCCACTATTATAAAAATCAAATTGATTAATTCCCCATAAATATATCATAAAATTTTATGAAACTTAAAATAAACTGAACTATACTGTTTTTTTATATATTCTTTTCTTTGTGAAGATTAAGAATAATATTATTACTTTCGAAAATAAATTTTTATTTATTTTATACGTTAAATGTACTTATTACATACTAATTTTACATGATGCTTTTAAGTTCAACACGACAAGTTGGGCATTGAGTAATATTAACGCTTTTCAAGGATTCAAAACATTTAGTGTGAATCAAATGGCCACATTTTGGAACGGTTAAATCCATTCTTGAAGAATGAATTTCTTCTAAACAAACCGTGCATCCATCTCTTCCACTGTTTTCAATACACTAAAAATAAAATATTTTTTTTTTATGAAACTTTGTAAAATATTCTTTTACCTTGTGAGTTTCTCGAATACCTATATTTAAACACATGTTACAAACGTCGCAATGGAAGAAATTCTGGGAACCCCCCACACGGCATATTGTGCATTTATCGCAATGAAATTGACCTTTAGCTGTGTCGTCATATAAGCAACATTTTTGGCAAAAATACTTAAAAAAAATAACATTTTCGAATTATTTAAATAAAATTAAATATAAAAGAAATACCGTTGCGAAGATAACATGACATTTTCTACATGTATTTCGGGCTTCTTGAGGATAATTACAATTTGAACAAACAATTGTTATTACGTTTTTCCGAACTAAACGGTGATTTTCTTGTGCATCATGACAATAATGGCACCAATATTGTTTTTTACAACATGGTGTCTAAAAATAAAGATAAAATAGAAATCCGTTATAACTATGGTAATTAATACCCTGGATAGCATTAAAGAGGTTACAGCTAATATATTAAAAATATCATATAATTAAAAACAGTTAAGAAAATAATTGTAGGTTATTTTACCGCGAAATCTGGGAAACACCGACATTTATTGATGTTTAGATAATGTTAGATTACTCACCAATAACATAGCTCGTCTCTTATAATGTGAACATCCTATTGATGATTGGGCCATGGTTTAGAAAACCAAACACTGCACTGAATAACTAAAGTCGGAACAATAATAGTAGGAAGTCTGCAGACGTAAACAGAAAAGTGCAATACGATACTTGGGGTTTTGTACCGAACGATAATATTGTTGAATAAATACAGTGTGCGCATGCGTTAAGCTTAATCTTTTTAAATATACATTTTTTTTAAATATATGTGAAATTTAAGTAGAGTTAATTGATACTTCTTATCAATAAATAGTTTTATCAGTGATCGCACTATTATTATGTAGATACTTTATCTAATAATATCACACAAAGGAAATTTGTTCTTTACCATGTTTAATCATGGTATAGGTTATATTCTACGAAAATCTAAAGTCCAAATGAAATTCTTCTGGAGGGTTGCAGGAAAAACACGACTGGACAGGGACAGAGTACGGAACAGCCGTATTCGAGAAGAGCTCAATATGCAGCCAATAATTCCCAATAATTTTTTTAGTCAGACACAAATGGGACAGATGAGATCAAGAGCAACATAGGAAGAGGTAGTGAAGCAGATTGCAGCCAGTCCAGGGAAGACTATGTAGTTGCTCAAGGGTCTTGCTGTGGAAGAGAAAGAAGAAGAGATAATAACATATCTTACTTTAAATAAATAAAACGACTTTTTGAATGTTAGCAATATATTTCCTCAACATAATTAGTATAGACTATTTCAGAAATATAAATACGTATCTAACAATATTATATATAAAAACTATTTGAACTTGTGAACAGGTTGTTGGTATCTTTTTAATGGAAGTTAACAGCCTTAGATTGTGAACTGCGCTGGCGTAACGTTTCGTCCATTCTTAGCTGCTCCTTCTGCAGCTGCATGCGCATGGTACCAAGCTGCGTTAGGATGCTTCTACTGTGACCGTCCGTATAAGAATCACCGTGATTCACTAAACCTTTCTAAAAAAATAAATAAGCAATAAATTGATGTGATAAAATTTTCAATTTTAATCAAAGTATGCATAAAATTTAATGAATCTTAGCTAGCGTGACAGCCCTCTTATGTTTGTCAGTACCATCTTCTAATTAAGTTAACCTTAAGAAGAAGATAATACCAACATACTTTAAAAGTTCCTTTTTATGTCGTTTAAAATAAGTTTGTATCACTTAAAAAATAGAGAAGAAAGTAAATTTGCTTGTATATTTTCTCTTACATTCCATTTATCTTCATAACGTCTAAAAACGTCTGGTCTACTAGAAGAATTAACGGCGATAGAGTTTTTAAGTTCCCTTGCGACGGGTGAGTGCGCTTTAAGTACGGGCGTGGGCAGTGGATCATCCAATCGACTAGAACTACTCCTGCGCTGCATTTTTGGACTCTTACGGATCGCGCTTAGATCTTGTTGCGTGGCACTATGCCTCCTCTGCTGTACATCACGACCAAACGCATCGCCAACGCTCAACGTTTCCAACCTATTCAACATGTCCTGGTGTTTTAACGCATCTATTCTACTCAACGAATCGAAACGACTAAATCTACTATAATCGGAATTGGTGGCGACGGCGCAATTATTGATCGGATCGTGATAAGCACCGAGAAGGTCCATACGATTAAGGGCGTCGCGACGCGCTGCCATCGATTCGTAACGCGATGGTAACGTACCGTACCTGGGTGAGGTTCCTGGATAGGAGGATGACGAGGATGGAAGGGTATACGAGTGATGTTGACTACGACGGGATACCGGCGGAGAATAATGGGACAGTTTTGAGGCAACGTTGGTGTTTCGAAGACTTAGTGGGCTGCTCTCGGACTCGTAACGTTTGCGAAAACTCGAACGCAGCTGGAGGTCTTGTTGGCGACGTAGGAACTCATCTGTAGTTCTTCGAGACTAAAAAATAACAAAATTCATATATTAAAGTGATAATTGAATTATTTTTTTATTACCTGTTCATCTCGTATTGCACGTATCTGTTCCTCTCTGATTTGTTCCTCTTGCATCCGAATTAATTGTTGTTCTAACCTTCGATTTTCACGTTCTTGTTCGATCCTTTCCTGTTCCTCACGAAGTTCGACCAATCTCCTTTTCTCCTCTATTTGCATTCGGAGCTCTTGTTGGTAAGCCTCACGTTTTAAACGCTCCTATAAAAAAAACACATTAGAATCATAATTTAAAAAAAAAACTAAAAGCTTACACGTTGAGCAACGTCAATCCTATCATGGTAACTAAATCCATCTAAGCAACTTGTTCCATACCCATGATTATAATCAGATAATAAATGATCTAAAACATAAATGACTCCCTTTATTGTTTTTTGCCTATATTTTTAATACATATTTTACCTGTGGGTGTTTGAGTTCTTCTATTTGATAAAATACTTCTTGGTTTATCCATATTTGCTGCTTGCAACTCCAAATTTTGATCACTTGTCAGTCTCTGATCTATTCGTTGTTCATTAGCATTACCATACAATTGGTGGTTTTCTTTATCAGAATGATTGCTGTCAGAAGGAGTACATTCTTTGGAAGCCTGACTCGATTCACAACTATACGAAAACTAATAAATAAAAATTTCACTCTTTATTTGTAAATTTTATTCTGTATTAAGTTAACTTACCAATGAATTATTAATATCTTGAATATCTGTTTGTACAGATTTCGTTTGCCCGGATGAAATAAGTTTACTTTCATACAATAAACGTTTCGACGAATTTTTTAAATTTTCATTTTGCTAAAAAAATTTAAAGAAAATGAGTAATTGAAAAATAAAAATTAAGACACATTGTATCATATTTTTTTTACGTTATTTAAGTGTTCTTTATAATCTGCCTGTCGTTGTTGTTGCAAAAGTAACTTTCTTTGTTCGTGCTCTCCGAATCCTAAGTAAGGTGCCGTCGTTACGCGTAATTGTGGATTGTTGGGGCTGTATTCACCCCAACGAAACATCGCACCTTTATTGCTATCATCCTATTTTTATAAACAAAACATGAAAATGATCAGCAAAACTTAATAAAGAGTAAGTACAAAGTAAAATTTAGTAATAACAAATGTTTCTACATAATATTATCAATGTTTATTTTAAATAATTTTTAACCAATTTCATAATAAAAATTAAAATTTCAGTTAACATTAACCCTTTAAATTAAAAAAATCAATTAAAAACGATATAATAACTAAAACAGAATAAAAAGTTACAAAAAAGAATGTTATATTGACTCCTCAAGAAGTGTTTAATGTTTTTTTTTTATATTTTAGTTCAAGATAACGATTTAGTGTGTAATATCAAATTATGGTAAAGGGTTAAAATGTTAAATTAACGTTTTAAATATAGGTAAGTCATAAAAAATTGAGAATCCAAGAAATTCTAGGCACCAAAATATGATAATTTACTATAAGGAATTAGTAATGTGATCCTTGGCTTAACAGAGTCTCATTTTAGAACAATAATGGATATTTAGACACTTAAAAACAATAAACTTAAATGTTATTTGCAATTTGATACATTTACTGAAATTAGAGGAGGTTAATAATCATCATTTTAAATTTTTTTAATGTGAATGTTGAAGATGGTTTAAATTACATAAAAATACTTTGTACGAGGAGCTGAGCTACTTTCCCAAATTCGTTGTCCGCATACAAGTCATAATCTCGTTTTTCGAGATCCAAATGCCGAAAACTCCAAACAAAAACCTATCGTTTTTTGTTTTCATTATTTCGGTAAAAATAGAAAAATTTGCAAAAACGATAAACGCGAATATCTCTTATTACCAAAGATGGATATTGCCAAATATTTTTTTCCGGGATAATTGACAGGTGGAAACAAAACTGACCTATCCTAACTTTTCTTCGCGCTTCACGCTATAATTAGAGTTTCAAAATAAAATTGACCTAACTCAACTTTTTTTTTTCTCATTCAGGCAGTCATTGCTCATTTTATTAAATTTTACTATGTTAAAACACATTCTTTGATATTTTGCTGGAACTGCGTAGAACAGGCAAAATAAATTATGTGCATCGATTTAAAAACATTATTTTAGATCATAATGCTAATAATACAGGGTGAGTTTTTTTCCATGTTTAGTATGGAGATCTCGAAAACTAGCGGAGATAGAGAGACGATTAAATAGGGAAAGCATTACAGTTTCATGAACTCAATTTAATAAGCTTTTTGTTTTTTGGATGAAATGCATGGCTAATTAGATATCTCGAAAAACCCGTTTTTTTGTTATGTCGTTCGATACCTATGGCTCCGCTATTATTGATTTTAGGAAAAACGTGTAAAGGAAAAATTTGTAGGGTATTACATGTTTAATAAAGCAGTCTAACTGATTTTTTTATTTAAGCAATAATTTTTGAATTATGACACAAACTAGTAATTTTTCTAATGGAAACCATAGTTGGTCAGGACTTTATAAAAAAGGCCTTTTCTCAACGATTCTAATGATATGGATATTTTTATTAATAAATAAATTATAGCCATTATTCTTTTAAAATGCAAACAGGTCAGGTAGTATGCTATGGAAACAATTGATAGATACGTTTACAAACGTAAGTTTCCATGATTTCGTCCCGCTAGCTTATTAAGTGGTGGTGCCCCATCGTATTGAAGCCATTTAAGCAAATGACGTGTCTGCAGGAGTAATTCATCCAACATATTATTGAACTCGTTCTGTAGAAAGTGAAGATAACGATCTCCGTTTAACGTATTATAAAAAATGTACGGACCAAGCATTCTTGAACAAATGACATCGCACCAAACATTACATCCAAACTTAACTTGAAGTCTCCTCTCTTGAATATGGTGCGGATTTTCCTGCATCCATAAATGTTTCACATATGCTAATAAACCACGTACAATATTCTACTTGTAGTCATCTGGGGGTAGTGTTTGTGAAACTGCCATTTTATATGAATGAAATCTATGCTTTTTTAGGTCTCTTACGACAGTACGTGCCTGCTTCAGATGCCACTTGTGTTGAAAGCGATGCATCTTGATGGATTCGAACTAATACATTTACTTCTGTCTTGCATCTTTAGTTAGTTTACAGAAAGAAATAATTTGAGCGAGTATGGACCCAAATTATCAGCCTCTTCAAAGTAGGTATAAAGGCTAGTTACGATCAAAATACTGTTCTGCAGCTTGTATTGTATTTTTATAGCATAAAATATAACACTTAATGATATCACGCTTTTATTGATTAGAAAAATTCATATTGATTATAATTTGCAAAACCTCAATCAACGTTAATTAGAAACAAAACGAAACATAGTTTGCCATAAGCTGTCATAACCAAACGTATCTATCAATTGTTTCCATAGCATACTACCTGAACAGTTTTCCAATTAAAAGAATAAATGGCTATAACTTATTTATTAATAAAAATATCAAATCAATTCAAATAGCGTTGGAATAATCTGCCATGATGTTTGCCAATGACTTAAACCCGTCGTCAAATGTAACTAATGACAACAATAATACAAACATGGACCAAAAACAGTCAAAATTCCATAGTTTTCTAATAAAAAAACCTGCATTTCGTACATGTTTTAACAAATCTACATCTGAAGAGTAATCGTGCCAACGTAGATCTTTTTTCAAAGAACGTTGGCTGAGATATGGGGTTTTAAAGACCATGTTGAAATTTACCAAAAAAAGCTTAAAACCAAAATAATTCGAAAACGAAAAACGCTAGGTACCAATAACTTTTATCAAAGTCAACCTATTTCTTTTACATACAATTAAACGGTGTAATAAAAACTATAGCATTCCATTTAAAATAACGAAGTTATGGTCTACTTCCGCTAGACCGGAAGTGGCGACCGTCTTGAAAATATTTTAAATCGAACGTTCCGAATGAACAACCCATGCTACCAAAATTTAAAATCTCTACGAATAATGGAACCTGAAAAAGTTTTAACGAACCAGTTACGTGAGACACCTGTATATAGAATACCTCTAAAAGAATCTCAATTGCCTTAAATGTTAATTCATCGTATTTTTCATTGTCCTTTAAAAAATAAAGAATAACATCGAATTTCTAATATCCATGTAGATTGTTTTCATTGATAACTAACTTAAATGGTAAATCAGTAAAGCTTTAGTAAATTCAAAACGTTTTTAGTAACTTGTAAATAATAATCTTCAAATTAAGAAGTGTTCATATTCTTCTGATCTTACCCCTTATTTTATAGGTCAATTAATATTAAAGACGACGTTTATGTAAATAACTACAAAACTATATAATATATGAGGTTAAAACAGTCAATTAAGAAAGCATCAATATCTCGACCCTTCAGTGAGCTTTGCAGAAATTTGCTCTTTTTCTGTACCACGTCATAATCACCATAGTCATTGTACCATATCATAGTCATAAAATTTGAATAGAATTTTGAACTCAGTATGTTTTGTAAATTTGATTTTATATTTCATATATTTTATATTTTCTCAAAGACATACCGTTTGCTATGCTTGCATTGTAATTTCAAAACCAAAAATAAATGTTTACAATTCTTAATTTGACCATGTGTACATATTGTGGATATGAGGAATTTTCCTGATTTAATTGTTAATATGCAAAAGATATCAAAATGAAATAAGTAAAAATTTTCTCATTTTGATCTTTGCACAATACGAAATATGTTTATTTTTTTGCAATATTAACAAATAAACCATATTTTCTACTTTCTTCTCATTCAGAGTGTAGATTGGATTAATCATAAACCACTATTGGAATTGGTTTCTGGTTGATTGTTAGTTAGTAAGACAGAATCACACCTATAATTGTTTTCCTTTCCAATGTAGTAAGAGAATTTCCTTTCTTTATTTTTTGACCATGTTCAGCTTGAATTAAATATATAAATCAATCAGAAACATGTAAAGCTTTAAATTAATACTGCATCTTGGGATTTGACCCAATAACTATCTAAAATTGGGGTTTAATTATTTTAAATTGTTTTGATTTATTCAAAATCATATTTTGGAGCCTTTTTAAAATCTCCAATTTAGATTTCACCTTTTTTTATAACCCACCTTAGTTAAATTTTAATGTTTTTTTTGAAGTTGGTTGTTAAATTTATTTTTTAAATTGCATACTCAAGCATAAAAAAAATCTTTTACTGAGTACTAAAAATAATGTTCTCATGCTTACCGATCTAAAAGATAAGGGATTTTCAGAATGAATAATTCTATCAATAAACGATTGTTTCCTTTCGTCTAACGAGCCATCTTTGCAACTTAAATCAAGCCTTTCGACTACCTCAACGTTCTAAAAATTTAAGAGAAAAAGAAAGAAACAAAAAATCAAAAAATATTTCAATCGTAAAAATAAAAATGTTTTCTCACTACTGATCAAAAGAGAAAAAGGATCAATAACTACACTATTATAAAATTAATTAAAAACAGGAAATTCTTGCAAATAACTAATTGAAAAAGAATAATTACCTGCTTTTTAACATTTGGTGATAAAATTAATTCATTTATACCCCCATTTCTGTCGGTTTCATTTATATTTTTGGCTGGTGGCACATTTGGATCTTCACTTGGATTAAACTAAAGTAAACAAAATGGAAAGTGAAAATATGGAATTGTAAAAAATAAAAAAATCCATACAAACCTTTGTTAAAGTAATAAAATAACTGTTTTGGGACTAAAGAAAAGCATGCAATTTGTACAAAATTAAACACGAGATGAGTGCATATTATAGGGACAAGGACAAAATGAGAGAAGAACTGATTCTGTTCTCTGCTCTTCTGTCAGAACCAGGGGGGTGGTTGAAATAATCAATAAATAACAAGGTCAGATGCCTTGGACACTCCTATTCTCAGAACGTCAGTAAATAATAATAGAAAAAAATAACACTAGAAACGATTAGAAGTCAACCAAACGGAAAATTAGTGGTGGTTACATCAATAAAATTAAAAGCAATGTGGTAAGTGAAAATTGTTTTAAACCTACCCACCCTTATAGTAACGTCACAGTCGCCAAATTAACTTCCAAAAACAACTTTGACCTACATTTTAAAGAAAAAAATCTATCCTAAATTGTTATTTGATATAAAATCGATTCTATTATATTTATACCTGATTTTCAACGGTCGATAATCCTAACCTCTTTTTTTCTTCAGCCAACAATACTTTTTGATACTCTTTTATTTCTTTTAAATCAAAATCCATTTTACATGGGCAAAAATCAAACGAAAATTATTCATTCGCGACAAACAAAATTAATAAATGACGTTCAAAAGCGAACGCTTCTAAAAACAAACTTGAAAATGTCAAAACAAAACATATGAACTTCTTTTTAAATGTAATATCGACAGTTACCTACTTTATCTACTTTAATAATTAAATTATTTTAGAAGCTAATTTATTAATTTTATCTTAATATACGTACCTAATACGTACTCAAAAAAAGTATTAAGCAGCAACTTTAATAAGATTAATAAAATTGTATTTATGACGTTTTTAAAGTTTTGAGGAGATTAAAGACTTTAAATCCAATTACGGTAAGATGTCACTTTTGAGGTTGTTACAAAACATCAATGTATTACAAATGTCATTCAATAAACTATACAGAGTGTTTACCATGTTTATACAGAATGATTTAAAAACTTTGTATGAAAAGGAAATTATTATTGCACTTCTATGTAAATTTTCATTGGTTTTAATTAATTTTCACTTTGTCATTTTTAAACTTTTCTACTCCTCATTTGTTACACACATTGGAGCGGACCAGCCCAAATGTTGCTCTATTTAAGCTGAAGAACAAACAACACATAAGAATTGTTTTAATGTTGGAAGAAGTTTCTCAATATCAGGAAGGTTCTTTTGCAAAGCAGTACCAATGAATATAATTTCTTTGCAGAAAATGGTTCCATTTTCGCCTCTAGCTGGTAATAATGGTAATAATCCAGTGTTAGCGTACATCTTACTCTTTCATCGTCAATTTATATTTTGTTTAAGTTACATCTAAAATAAATACAATTAAATGGTAAGGCGTAAATGCTCGTTTGTAATTTTTCTGATAAACTTCTATTTGAGACAATTATTCGTCAAACGAATTGCCTTTTTTCCACACTTAACATGTTGATGAATGAAACCGAATCAAGTTTCATAACGTACTGTTTCGATTTGCAGTAGATTCAGATTTTATCCAAACTGGCTATTGAAGAAACCGTTTATTCTCTACAAGTTATGTTTTGCACTTGAAGTCTTGAGTGTTTAGTTGGCATCTAGGCATTGACCTCGATTCTAAATTGATTTTTAATTCATTTTTCTACACGCTTGCATTTTACACTTTTCACAAACCTACATTGCATTAAAAAGCAATTCATAATCAGTTTTTTTTTATCACGCCTCCCTATTACCTAAAATCATAATAGTAGGCCCCCCTTGCGGTAATTTTGTAATAGGTGTAATAATATAACTACAAAAAACATACTACATATTTCGTAAAAGTTTTATTACAATAGAACACTTTTTCAGATACATGTGTTTAATCAATGAGATGAGTGAGCTTGCATACTTTTGAAAATTTTTCCAATTCTAGGTTGAATAGCTATTTTGCACAAATAGGTGCTAAAATAAGGTAAATACAGTTGCAGCCCTTGTTCTGCTATACTGGGATGAACTTTGAGATATTTTACTCAAAATAGTGACTTATCCATCTTCTCAAAATCATATTTCGCAGTAGAATCATTTTTAATATCCAAAATTTGCTCTTGTATTGTTTCTGGTAGCTCATCTATTTTAATATAAAAGGATCCGTGACCAACTTATAAATGTTATTATCGCACGAGTTAGAGAAGTAACGCTTGAATTCATCAGTGAGGTGCTGCAAATGGTTTGACAACATAGAGTTCAGTTTGGGTAATTGGGTTTCTAAAAACAAAATTAATGTTCTGTGCTCAAATCTTCTCAAAAGACCTTAAAAAGTCAGGTGTTTAACGCACTTTTTTTTAACATAATTGACAATTTCAATGCATAATTTTAAAACATGTTTGTAATTCGTTTGAAAATGTTTTAGTCGTCACAGCTTGACGGTGTATAAAACGGTTACATTAGGATTTTTTTCTTTGACCAACTGTACGAATCAACTTTTGCCATGAGAGTTCATAAATTGTCAAAAAATGCAGAGATAGCTGTCATTATATCAACTGCTTTTGAAATTATCGTTAACTCTGTGGAAAACAGCATTTTATCTTTGATTGTTTCGCATTGGGAAAACTTTGATTCTTTCACGACATCCACTACTTGCATTTTTATGTCTGCGGCCATATCATCGATATGACGTTTCACAATATTATCAGAAAAGGTATTTGTGAATATTTTTCAGTGGCTTTTAACAGGCAAGGTTTGATAAGTGTTTCACAAATAATGTGGCTTTTCTTGGTCTTCACGAAGCTTCAAGCGCCTTTTCAGTTGACTGAGCAAATCCAGTACTATCTAATTTAATGCGTTTCAAGCTTGTAGATTTGGCAGCAAAAAACTCCTCTGGTTTATCCTTTAACGCACTATGTTTTGTTGACAAATGTCGCTTCAGACGAGAAGGTCTCATGGCATCATTGCTTAACACTTCGTAACAAATAACACACTGCGGCTGGTCGATACCATTTTTGTGTATAGCAACAAACTATGTTTAATATATTCTTCACTGTATTTTGCGTTTTTTAGTCGAGTTCATATCGAAGTAAAACGAACACATAATTGCGTGGTGTTTGTTCGATATCGATATAGATTCGGGACTTCCCATAATGTCATAGCCATCATACAGTGTGTTAATTAATTATCTTACCCGACCAGTATGCCAATACTGTGATATTGGTTGCATACTTGCAATGATGACGTCATATGTAATTAATTAACACACTGTACATACATATGGATATTCAAAATTGTTACTATAGAAATACCAAAATCTAGTAGTTTCAACATTTTATTTTTCCAACTCAAGTGTTGTATCGCTCGCGTCCTTTTTAACATGTCTTTACGCCCCCCTCTATATCTTATCCATATTAAGTTCTTAGAGAAGATTTATACTTGGCTTAGACGTTCATTTTACCCTAACATTGCGAGCGTTTTGTGCCAAATTGTGACATCTTTATTATTATCCCGTAAGTTCTTCCATAAAGCTCTAATAACTTAATTATCTATGATTATTCAGATTAACTCGAGTTTAATTTGGTGTATGTTGATAGCTAGATAGATGAAGTTATATTATTAAGTATATTGTTAAATTGATGAAATAAAACACAAAAAAATCAATTACAAATATTTTTTTTTAATTTATTCATAAAAATAATCATAAATTATTCATACACACAGGCAGACTGAATGCAACGATTGATTGCAATTGTTTCCGTTATTATTATTATTAATTATTTTCTTTTTTTTAACAAATTAATGACCTAAGTTTTATTTTTTTTGGCAATATGTACAATGGTTTTTCTAACTAGTTTTTTTATTACAAGTAAAATGTATAAGAGAAATAATATTTCAAAAAGAAAAACAACAAATTTACAAGAAATTAATGGAATGGAAACGTATTCATTTATCGGGCCGAAAGATCTAAGACGTATATTTACACGATTTTTTATTAATTATAATAGTTATTAATTAAAAAGATAATATTACAAAGAACTTAAAAAAAAGAAACTGAAACGTTTTTAGAAACAAAGAATGTAGTTTATTTTTTTCGTTTTTGTTTCATATTTTAAAATAATCGAACACAAAAATATAACAGCAAACGGTAAATTGTCGTAATCACAGATTATTAATAAACAAATAAAAAATTTGTTTTTATTTTTATTTTTGTTAATCTATTTGAACGCGAACTCTTACCTTTTTATTTTTAGTTATTGTATTTTTTGTCTTGTTTTTTTTTAATTTAAACAATTTTTTAGCACTTAGCGTAACTTTTTCGGGTAAATATTTGATTTTTCTTTTGCTTTTCTTTTTTTAATTTGTCGGCAAAAAGGAATCAGTCAAATTTTTTTATTATAATTCAGAGTATATTATAGCGTATTATTTGTTTGAATGTTTCTTGTTGTTGTTGTTATTTGTCATGTTGGCGAAAACGAAAAAACTTAATTAATTTTTCTTTTTTTAACACTTCGGAGAGGTAGCTCGTGGAATTAAAAAAAAGTCGACATGTTTTATTTATTTTTTTTTTTTTCAAATTGCCGACTTGGTCAACTGTATTTACTTTGTACTTATAGATATACTGTATTATAACAGGAAGCATTTTACCTTATTTTTTTGTAGTCAGTTGACAAGAAGTTTCTGTTAGAACCGAAAATTAATAAAAAAAATTTGTCGCGAATTTTTCTTGTCAACTGAAAATGTTTGTTTTTACATACTTGTATTTTTTATTCGAGAATGTATCTTACATTTCTCGCATGTGGTATATATACATAAATACTATACAATTAACAATCTTTGGTAAAAAAGAGAAAAAATAAAACAAATAACAAAAATTCTGTTTTACAAATTAGTTTACACTGAACTTTTAAATTATACAAGATTTTTCTTTCAATGAATAGTTAAGCGATTAAAAAAAATTAAAATATGCGTCCGTTTCTAAAAAACTCCTTTTTTATGGATATTTTTTTTACAAATCTATCGATAGGTTTTTACGAATAAAAAATTAATTATAAATAATACTAAAACGAAACGTGTGAGATCCAATAAAATTTCAATACCTTATTAATTAAGATTTAAACGGGGTGATTTAAAAATTAATTAAGTTCTTTTAATTGAGGTTTTAACAATTTTTGTATTAAGATAACAAAGAATTTATTTTATTTTAGTATTGCACTCAAAAAATTATAAAAAAACGGTGTTTCAAAAACGACCCAATAAAACTTCAAAATATCATATAGATGTTAATTATATAGGATGATTTACTTGAATGCAAAAAATTTAACGCAAATCACCCTGTATATACCTCATAAAAATCTTTTTATACAGTTAATTGTGTATAATTTTCAAATAACCCGTTTAAATACTTTCAGTCTACATTAAAAAGAACGAAAAACAATGGTTTAAAATAAAAAAAAAGCCTAAATTATTAAATAATTAAAATAACCTGGAAAAATCTCATTATATTGTCCGTTATTATAAGAGAAAAAAATACCGCTATACTTTTTTAATTATTTTTCGTTTTAAATCTATTTGATTATGTACACTTTTAGTAAGTATAATTAATAAAGAAAAAAATTGTTTAAAGCTTAAGTGGAGCGTTTTTTTTTATAAATTTTTTTTGATCATATCTCCAATAAAAAGAACAATAATCCGTAGAAAAATAATAAGATAAAAAATATCCTAATAAAGAATCAAATAAATAAATTACAATTAGATACATAAATTACAAAATCATCGTCATTATTTTTCTGTACAAGTAAAAAAACACCTAAAAATAGTATTTTTTAAAAAAATATCAGCCGAACCGTTCTCTCACCAAAAACATCAACTTCTTCTTTCCTTTATAAGCGACTTTCATGTTTTCTATTAATTGCGTGAACTGTGTGTGACCGTCTTGGGCTAAAATAAACGTATCTCGAGCTTTCGTTAAGAAATCTATGAAATCTCCATAGTGTCTTGGTGAGATATGGGTAAGTCGCGAATGTGTTGTATTAATATAAGCCGCAATAGCAGCCTCTAATAGTTGTCGTAACGGTGCTCGGTCATAAGATAGGGCTTTTAAGCTTGGGGTGCAACCTCGACTTCGATGAGGATGTGCATGATGTTTAACACCTGTATCAAGGGGTGGAGGATGTGGACAAGACATTCCTGGTGCTGTCATATTACATCTACCCAAGATATCCGATAAAACTGTTGCGCACTGTACGTTTTTTACCAGGAGCGGTATCATATTCGCTAATTCGGTTTTACCTAATGAATGACTTAATGCGCACGCCCAATGAATGTCGTTTATTGCCGGATGTGTATCCTAAAAAATTAATAAATTAGAATAAACTATTAATAAACATATTACAGCAATCAATTAGTAATCAAAATAACACTATATGTAAAGAGTAAAATATCAGATAAGGAAACCAAAGACTTTTTTGAGACAATGCTTTAATGTGATATAAAATTAAGGTGATATTTGGTTTGTTTTTGAGTTTAACTAAAAAATTGGTAGAGTTCACTTACTTATATGTTCTTTAAACCTTGGAAGGTTTTATCGAGATTACCGACATGATTGAGGCTTCAACTTGTGGGAGTACATAAGAAGAAGGGGGTTGAGGGATAATTGACAGAGAGAATAAGAGATATAGTGACGCACAAAAGTCTACATACAGCATTGAATTATGAGGTTTTTGTAAAACATAATAAGATAATAGAAAATTAGTATTACAGTGTGATTACAGATACTTACTTATTTATAACAAAAAAGAAATCATTCAATAGCTACATAATAAAAATTCAACAAACAATGCAAAAACTAACACGACAAAAGTTATGACAAAAGTTGGATAAAGTAGCTGGCATTGCGTTATCTTTTTTCTTAATTCAGTAGGGATTACAGATCTAGTTATTATTATTTAGTTTGTGTTTCGTCACTGTTCTAACTGCGAAAATCTAATCTTACAGCGAAATTGTCAAAATTGTTAATCACAGCTGAGCAACTGTCCAGACTATCGTCAAAAATTACAATGGTTACTGGCTGGCCAAAGAACTTTCTAGAAGAGATATTAGCTCCATATTAAAAGAAGTAAACAAAAATCGCGACTGTATCTAATAAGTCTGTACATCCAAGAACCATACAAAAAATTTTACGCAATAATGGATTTTTCAGCAGGACACTCCAAAGAAAACCGATGATTTCAGAAAGAATCGCCGTCTTCGACTAAAATTTGCTCAATCTCATATCGACAAGGAATTGGATTTCTGGTCTAAGGTTTTGTCTACTGACGAGTCGACGTACAACCTTTTTGGAAATGATGGTCGGGCAAACATTTGGTGGAAACGAAACACGGCGATGGAATTGAAAAATTTGATTTGGGATGCGATAGCAGCATCTGGTGTAGGAAAACTGGCATTCATTTATGGAATTATAGATTGGTATAAATATAAAAGTATTTTAGAACAAAATTTGAAGCCATTAGTGAAAAGTTTGGTCCTCGAGGATCACTGGCTATTCCAACAAGGCAATGATCCGCAATATGATGCGGATTTGAATCCAATCGACGATGTTGGGAAGCTTTTCGAAAACTCAGTGTCCATATTATTCATGCACAGATTACTGGCGCCAGTTCATTTGTATGTGGAAATAGCTATAAACCACTGGTGCCATTAAATTGGTGCCAGTAATCATAGCGCCAATAAAGTTGACGCTACTTCTACTTTTTGACGCCAGTAACAGTATTTATAAAGAACACGTGTAACTATTAACGTGTTTGTCCAACTAAAATGCCTAAATCCGGTAATAAACCGTTCAAAAAATTGACATCAGAACAGACAGTACTATCTCTAGAAACGTACGAACAATATCTTTGTTTGTGGAATCAGAAAATTCCACAATATAAGGACTGACTAGCACGAAATGAAGCTGTCAGAAGGATAGTTGAAATTATGAAGAAAACGGTTCCTAATTTTGACGAAACCTCGGCAAAAGCAAAAATACGAAGTATACGCAATGCGCATACAATTGAATCCATAAAGTTTTAAATTCATGCAGAAGTGCAGCATCAGCTGACGTATTCTGTGGCTAATTGGTTTCTACACTGAGTTGTGGAAATATCTCCAGAGGCCAAAAATCTTAAAGCTTGCTTGCAGTTTTATATGAGCTGGAATGGCATCACTCATATGCGTATGTTGTTTTTGTATTTTAGAGGATACTTGCCTCAACAAAAACTTAAAACTCTCTTCAGTCATTCTTAAATGATTAATCTTCATGGCATAATTCTCTAATTAAAGTACTAGACGCACCTAGGTTATTTCTACGTGCAATCCACGATCTAACCCAGCGATATTTTTTCGCTTTTTTTTGTTAATAACGTGTGCAGTTCCAAGGAGTACATTTGGACTACCACATTGATGCCAGCGCGAAGTACATCACTTGTCGCCATTTTTATTACTGTGCCAGTACACAATTATAACATTTATGTGGAAACAACTTCTGGCACCAGCTAATTGGCATGTGGAAATTTAGCTGAACGTAAGATCCGGCAGCACAAAATCATAGATGCGAAAACACTGAAATCTCCGTTAGTCGAATCTTGGGTTAAAATAACAGCAGAAAAGACAACAAACTTAGTTGCTTCAATGCCATGACGCCTGCGTGCTGTCATAGAAGCTCATGGAAGGTCAACGAAATATTTAGTTTTAAAAACGGTCGTTACATGGACATAATAATTTATTTATAGTTAAAAACTACTGTGTATGTAAACTTTTGTCCTATTAATTTTGGTATTATTTGTTGAATTTTTAGTATGTAGCTGTTGAGCGATTTGTGTTTTATTCTTTTTTGTGAATAAGTAAATATCTCTAATCACACCGTAATACTAATTTTCTACATACTTTTGTGTATGTAGCCTTTTGTGCGCCACTGTATATACTGATACAAGTGATTAAGAAAGCTCAAATTCAAAGCGCAATAGGTTTAACTTTATCATAACACAATCATATGGTCAGAAAGAAATCCTTGGAGACATTAAACAGCAAGCACTTCCATGTATAAAAGGAATTACATTTACTAATTAGGATTCATATAAACATCAAACAGTACAATAACGGAATACATTTACTAGGGTAAATTCGCAGAAATACGAGGAAACACTAATATTCATTAGAATTAGTCAAGATTCTATTGGATATTAATATTCTTGCTGTGAGGGCATGCAATGACAAGGGACATGAAATATATTTAAAAATCAATGAATATCTAATAAGAAATTATTTGAGAGATAAAGCTCTAATCTACTATGATAAGATTTTTGTTCAACTTTGAATCGCCTTACACCATTGAATCAAATAAGTCTAAAGTACTTCCAAAATATCTGAAAACTAAAATCGACGAAAATATGAAAAATTATGAACATTTGACGTATCTGTGATGAGTCATGTTTATTATTTAGTGATTTATTGTAGTTGTGATAAGATTGAAACAGGAAGCAAACTGATAAACTGTGCTTTACAGATACCTAAGTTTTATTTTGATAACTCAAATGTCAACGAAATGACACAGGGGATAAATAAACTCTGAAATATTCTCAAATTGCAGCATCTAACCTAGAGAAGAACTAATCTACTAATAAAGATTTATTTATTAAATGATTATTACCTGATTATATGCCAAATGAACATTTTTCATTGCTAACATGGCTAGCTTATAAGCTCTTGGAGGATATCCACGATGTTCCATATACCGTGCGATTGTAAATAACTGTGAAGAAGTCATAATATGCGATGCGGCTTCCACAACGACCTGGTAAGCAGTTTCAAAGGCTAAAGGTTCATTTTCACAAAGGGTTAACGCGTTCAAGGCACAATTTGGAGGGTCCTATAATAAATTAAAACCAAAAAATTATTACAATCTCAATTTTTAATAATTTTATTTTTACCTTTGTAGCACATTGTAATGCTAAAGTCCTCGCACAAGCAGATAGTTCTTCTTGTTGTGAAAACGTTAAGTTTAATCGCATAATAGTACTATGCGACATAATAGTGGTTGCAACAGGACCCGTGGCTTCCGTTGGTGTAAAAAATTGGAACCAATTTTGCATGATTAAAATAAGCGAGTCAACTCCGACTTCCGTTGCGCAGGTAACAAGCCACCGAACCATTTCCCGTCGCCTCCAGTTTAAAGAGGCAAGTGTCATTCGCATCACTTGCAAACCAAGTTCGAAGGCAACACTTAAAAGCGTTGGATGTCTAGGTCCATTTTCAGGTGTTGCGAATCGAAATGCATCTTGCGCCAATTTGAACAAATGCGACGAACTATGGATGTGTTTTTGTGATGATTCGAGTACCGTCCTTAATCGCATCACTTCGCCTTTCGCAGCACTCAACATCGTCGAGCTTAGCGTACACTGTTGGGTTTCGATGTGTCCTAAGGTGAACCATCTCGGCGAAGATCGAGGAATCAATAACGGACTTGACGAGTTTGCACCCATTGGATCATCAGAGTCTTCTCTATCTTCTAATAATGGTAAACGCATTGCGCGTAATCCTACTTCATATGCGAGGTCTGGATAATAGTTTAATAAAGAAAGGAACAAAAACCGAGCGAAGGTGTGCATTGGAACGCTTTCGGGATGAATCCCTATGCCTAATCCGCTTGTTGGACCACCTTCTAATAGAATAATTGCTTGTCTTCGAAGTACAGCTACTAAACTGTTATCTAATTCTATTTCTTGGAGTTTTGCTATTAAACGATCTTCTTGTTTACACGATTTCTCCTATAAAATCATAATCGAATAAGTATTAGAAAGTTTTTGATTAACTTTTATTAGCTTACTTGTGCATATAATCCAATAGGCATCATCCTCTGTTGACCTAATCCAATTAATGCAACTTCAAAAGCTAAGGTAAGATACGTTTCAGCTCGATCCCTCGATCCAATAACTGGTACATGATGATACCTTGGTCTGATGTTTCCATGTTGATCATCCATGTTGACTAAATCTGAAATAGCGCCTTTAATACATTATACATATTACAATCGACACATCCAGAGCACGTATACGATTTTTATAACCTACCTAAATAACTGGGCGTTCGAGGCCTTTGATCCTCCGGTACGATTGATGCATCGGCTAAAGTGTCGAAAAGACACCCGATTGGATCGAGGGGATGTCCAACCCAACCATCCGTATTCGTCGGAGCATTTACGTTTGTCGTTGAACAAACAGCCGTACATTGACCGCTACACCTTGATGTACACGGTTTGCACGGTGGAGGTGGTGGTTTGTTACTTGTACTCGCTACTTGTTGCGATTCGTGCCATTGTCGTTGAGCGGCTAATTGTTGTTGTTTCATCGTTCTTACTACTGAAACTGCTAAGCGTAAGGCTGCTTCCATGTGACCGTGAGATCTTAAAGAATCAACACGAGCTGCACATAATGGTATTGATTCTAAAGAAAAATGTTGTTTAGAAAGTTTATGGTGGCGTTAATTCTTTTATGTTTACCATGCCATAATGGTTGACCTTGTGAATTAAAGCTACCGGACCTGGAATTGTCAGGAACGTGAGAACAATAAGTATCACTGGATAAAATGTTTTTTAGATGCATGTTATCCCAAGACATTCCAACAGCATCTAAAGCTCTAGAAGTAAAAATTATTGATTTAAGCAAAGAAAAGTTTAAAATTTTGAATTATCTACCTATGAAATACTGTTCTAGGTAATACAGAAGTATGTGACTTAGAATTATTCCCTGATAATCGAAGACGTTTGCTATTCCGATGGCTATACGAACTGGAATCGTTGTCGTCATCGTCGGAGCTGCTGGAAGAGTCATATACAGGCCTTCCTCTGTCTCTATCCCTCTCCCTTCTTTCTCTTCTTTCCCTATCCCGATCCGCATACCGTTCCCTTTCATTGTGGTATCTATCACGATCTCTATCCCTACCATACTAAAATTTCAAAAATCAGATTCACTCTTATTTTTATATAATAAACTTAATTACAGAGTATCTAGATGGATGGTTAGCTTGTTGTAACCTAAAATCAGGATCTTCAGGTGGACACACATCGATTTTAGTCCATTTCTCCAATAACATTTTCCATTGTTGTTTTTCATGTTGGGTACAATTTGGATTTAAAACTATACACACCCAAAGAGAACCTAAATAAAGATATGATTTTATTAAAACGTTTTTATGTATACGGAGGTGTACTTTTTAATTTGTGCGAAGTGAATATTTGAAAATCGAGAATGATTTCAGTTCTTTTAAAATATATTTTCAAGGTCACCTATTGTTTGAATCTTTCCTATTCTAATATTTTGGTTAGCATTTTCGATTCGTTCAAACAATCCAAAGTATAAAGCACCTTTTATAAAGATAGTTATGACCTTGAAAATAAAGTGCAGGATTTTCAACTCACTTATCACAAGTTAAAAGGACAACGACATTGTATAAGTTTTATAATCATTAAGTACCTAACTGATCCCATAATTGACGACATTTATCTGTCATGGGAGTGCCCTGATTTTTCCACATTTGTAATCTAGGATCGGAAAGAAATTGTTCGGTAATAAGCGTTAACATTCTAGCACCGTTCGAATCTTGCGCCCTCAACATTTCCCTAACCTAAACATTAATAATAAAAAGAGTTGGGTAAAGAAATGATTCGAATTTATATTTTATTTGATCATACTTTAGAAAATAACGAATTTAATTGCTTATTGGCGTTATAATACGATCCTTGCGATAAATACGACTTGACTTGTTCGCAGACTTGTTCTTCGTCGAGATGCCACGAGTGATCGTCGTCTGCGGATGCTCCGGCGGTTGGATCTGGGGCACCCGGTATCTGATTGATTTCCGATCGTTGTTGTAGGATTTCGTCCGCTAATTTTTGTGCCGTTGGTAATACTTCCGTGTGATGTTCGGAAATAAGGTACTGAACGAATTTTTGTAATTGTTGTCTATCCATTTGCAGAAGGGTTTCTAATGAAAAAAAAATTAATTTAATTAAAAACTTATACATTTTTAGGTTTGAAAAATAAAACTCTTGAGATAAAAGCAATTTCAGAGTAAAATCTATTGACAAAACTGTGAGGGCGTAGCGCGCGAGGTAACGATTTCGTATTACCGGCGCCCTTTTGACCGAGGTCGGTCGTTCCGAGAGGGGGAGAAGAACGTAAAAACTATCAACTTTCGCCGTAAAATTGTAATATTACGCCTTCCTGTACTATTGATCGGCACGGCTCGGCAAAGTTCGCCGACATCTCCATGTTAGCCAAGTTGGTGGAGGCACAGGAAGGGGACCACCTTTCATCCCCACTACGGTTTCTCCACCCCGTTCTCAACTTTTTCACAATTATCCATCGTAAATCTATCCGCCCACCCAATTCCCCAAAAAAATACTTTTAACTTAATGCTAATAAAATTGATTTTATCCAAGATTATTTCCTATTCTAGATAAGCAAAAAAAAAGAATTCGTTTTACCTGAAATGGGAACACGCAGTCGTACACTCTCTGCATTTCGTATCCTGTACAGCGATAAGGCGACAACGTGCTGGCACCAGAAGATATCCTTCGTTTCGCAGCTGCAGGTCACCGATGTTATCTTGCACCTGAAAAGGGGACATCAAAACTTTAACGGGCGGTGCCTCCCTATATACTCTTGTCCGTTGTGACGGCGAATAATGGCAATAAAAAGGAAGACGTAATATGGCTCCTTTTCTACTCGACAGTTAGGGCGGGGAACTAAGGACACACAAAAGCGGTGGATCCTGTATCAATTTGCTCCGACGGCAGAAAAATAACGAGGGAGAAGAAAAATTTTTCAATATATTTTATGTCACAATTTTCAAGAATTCAAATATATTTAATTAGAAGCAAAAGAGTGTAGAATCGGTTTTCTTCTTTTTGTGTCCCGCTGCTTATTAAAAGTGGCAACAAAAAGAACGACACCCGCGCGGACTAACAATTAAACCGTGCGAGTGAAGTAACAATGAACTATTCAAAAATTCGGGTCCCCGTCGTGGTGCTGATGGAATATTCATGGTTCTCCCCGCAGGATGCTTACCTGTCGAAGCTGACGGATACTTTGAACTTCTGATGGGGCTCTGGCGCGCCACAGGGGAGCGTCGGCGGAGGCGACATCCTGCACGCCGTCACTACACCACTCAAATGGAATCCTGCAAAAAAAATATCTATTAACTTCAAGAAATAGTGTTGGAGCCATAACGGATTTAGCTTAATTGATATCATGAAAGTTAGAAATTACAAACCAAGTGAATAAGAAATAGGAAGGAATAAATAATAAGGACTAGGAACAGTTAGATGGATGTGGTTAGGAAGTGTTTTTAAGCAAATTAACTTATGTGGGGCAACCAATTTATTTCTTAAGTTAGTTCCTGTATACGACAAGTATGGTTTGGGTTAACAAGTTGTTTAACCCATGAATAAAAAAAAAATCATTTCCTGTATAAATCCCACGTTAAAATACCTAAAAACGCTGATTCGTGTTAAAAGAATGCATATTGCGTGTATTTAAACGAAAGGATCAACGTACTGATTAACATTCATCAGCATCCCAAGACATCGACCTCTCAGTCAAAGTACAGTCAAAGTATTAAGTAAACTTAACTCCCCTCTCTCTTGCATCCCCACCAAGAGAACGAAAATCGCGCATGAAATTCAATTCAATTGTCATATGAAGACGACTCGACCTCGAAAACGTACGGTTCCACTCCAACACGATGCTGTTGCTCCCTAAAAGAGAGAAAGAAGAGTAAGAGGAAAAGGAAGGATCTGAGTGCAAAGAGCAGAACCACGAGGAGGAAAGTCTATCGTTCGTTCGTTCCACTTCTGCTGCGTCGCTCTTCTCTCACTTCCCCTTTAATTCAGTGGCAGCGTCGCGTCGCTCGGCCGGTCTGACTGGGTCTAGGTCACCCCACCGCCTTCACCCGGGGTCCCCCTTCCAATTCCACCGTCAACGCCTCCTGCACGGAATCTCAAGGCTAACTTTGTTTATACCTGCACGCACGAACGAAGCAAACGTCCCACAACAACATACAGACAGCCGCGACTTGATATAGCAAAAGTCCGAGAACCAACAACGGCGATTCAGATTGCAGGAGAGGGGATAAATCTGCTAAGCTACTGCTATGCGACTGAGTCAACAAGTATTCAATCCACTACAATCTCTCCATCGGGACTGTAGTATCTCTGCACATTACTCACTCTTCGTAATAAACTATTCAATTACGTGTTATAGGAAAAACGGTTGGTTTTAAAAGTATTCCAAGTTGCAAAGAATTTTTAAAATACAGAATACGCACAACAGGTGTTGTTCGTAGACATTTTTTTGGAAATAAAGCAAAAGCTTAAAATTGTTTTGGAACAGTTATGACCCTTTATGAATATAATTATTAAATTAGCTGCTTAATTAGATAAATGCCAAGCATACCAAAACGTTAGTTATACTTATTAATGCTCAAATTTCATCAACAATCTAATCGTAAACTACATTGGTAATTCTGATTACAGTTATTCTTTAGGAGCTATATGGATGTATTGTGACATCGAATTAAAATAATAGTTTGTTCATTAACATAACGAGATGATTAAGAAATAAGTTTCATGTTTAGTGTGTGTGTTATTCAGTGAATTTCACTTAAGATGCAATATTCAAAAATACATTTCCATAGAAACCAGGGCGTACACTTTGTCCCACATAAAATGTAACATATGTCAATATAATTTGACATTACAGTAAAACCTCGATGTAACGGATCAATACGGGGAAAGCAGTGTCCGTTATAGCTCAATAAAAATATATAACAATCTAGAGCTGAATAACAAATAAAACTAGACTAACACTAGACCTAGATCTAGAAACATTCCGTTTAGCCGTACCTCTCTTAAAATGGTAGGTGGTAGGTAGCACTAGTTAGCATAAAATATCGCAATGTTGCATATTTTTATTGAACTAAAACTAGAACTAACACAAGACCTAGAACCAGAATCATTCGGGTTTAACCGTCTTGAGAAACGTGCGGCTAAATCAGAATGTTTCTAGTTCTCGGTCTAGTGTTAGTTCCAGTTTTGCATTGAAACTAACACAAGACCTAGTACTAGAATCATTCGGGTTTAGCCGTCTTGAAAGACGTGCGACTAAATCCGAATGTTTCTAGTTTTAGGTCTAGTGTTAGTTCTAATATTGCACTATCACTAGAACTAACACAAGACCTAGAACTAGAATCATTCGGGTTTAGCCGTCTTGAGAGACGTGCGGCTAAACCCGAATGTTTCTANGCTTAAAATTGTTTTGGAACAGTTATGACCCTTTATGAATATAATTATTAAATTAGCTGCTTAATTAGATAAATGCCAAGCATACCAAAACGTTAGTTATACTTATTAATGCTCAAATTTCATCAACAATCTAATCGTAAACTACATTGGTAATTCTGATTACAGTTATTCTTTAGGAGCTATATGGATGTATTGTGACATCGATTAAAATAATAGTTTGTTCATTAACATAACGAGATGATTATGAAATAAGTTTCATGTTTAGTGTGTGTGTTATTCAGTGAATTTCACTTAAGATGCAATATTCAAAAATACATTTCCATAGAAACCACTTTATCCCACATAAAATGTAACATTATATCAATATAATTTGACGTTACAGTAAAACCTCGATATAACGGATCAATACAGGGAAAGCAGTATCCGTTATAGCCCAATAAAAATATACAACAACCTAGAGCTGAATAACAAATAAAACTAGACTAACACTAGAACTAGAACTAACACTAGACCTAGATCTAGAAACATTCCGTTTAGCCGTAACTCTCTTAAAATGGTAGGTGGTAGGTAGCACTAGTTAGCATAAAATATCGCTATGTTGCATATTTTTATTGAACTAAAACTAGAACTAACACTAGACCTAGAACTAGAATCATTCGGGTTTAACCGTCTTGAGAAACGTGCGGCTAAATCCGAATGTTTCTAGTTTTAGGTCTAGTGTTAGTTCTAGTATTGCACTATCAGTAGAACTAACACAAGACCTAGAACTAGAATCATTCGGGTTTAGCCGTCTTGAGAGACGTGCGGCTAAACCCGAATGTTTCTAGTTCTAAGTCTAATGTTAGTTCTACTTTTAATTGTTATTTAGCGTTAGATTGTGGTATATTTTTATTGAACGAAAACTAGAACTATCACTAGACCTAGAACCAGAAACATTCGGGTTTAGCCGTACGTCTCTTAACACGGCCAAAAACTTAGGGTTGTCATAAGGACGTTGCCTTTTTTCCAAGCAAAACTTTTCCTTTGCAAAACAACCCAATGCCTGTACTATTAAGCTTAATTGCATTTTATGTAGGACGATTTATATGAAATTCACGGTATGTTGAGAATTAATTTTCATTATATTCCTAGAAATCGTTTAAATACAGTTCCAAACGTTGCCATAACAATTTGAATCTGAAATAGTTTTATGTACGTTGGGAGTACTAGAAACATTAAAAGATGGAAAGATCATTAATAAGCAATAATTAGAAAAATACACATTTTTTTGCAACTATATACCTTCTGGAATAAATTTGTGAAAGTATATTAAAAGTTTGTATTATTTTGAAAGATATATACGTTTTTCGCGCAGTGTACGTGGAAAGCTGAAGGTAAAATAAAGCGACGTTTTGACCATTTTGCTATATTTTATGCCATTTATCTTTCTTATTTATGGTTTAATTCCATACAAAAATGTTTTCCAAGAAATGGGCATAAAAATAAAATAAATTTTAATTTTTTCGAGAGCTTTATACCTACATTTATCTACTTCTTTATAAAACGCGTGTGTGCAGTGGCTTTGGTTAACAAACTGACATGTGTCAATTCAATAGTGTGATTTCCACATCCACCTGAACTGGATTATTACAAACGTGCTTATTCGGCATGAGTGTACTCATTGGACAATATTTAAAAAACTGCTTGATATTACAGTAATAAGTAGTTTATGTCAGACATGCAATGTATGGAATAAAAAGAAGTCATTCAAAGTCTGTGGAAGATTTGCAAAAAGAAATTTAGCACGTTAATATCATAAAAGTTCCACAGGTGTCAACATAAGTTGATCAGTGTATGTAGTGTAAAACCGAATCCGCCAGCAAATAGTGTTCGCCACTGTTGAATTTACAGCTTTTAGAGAAATGAATGCATTTTGAACGTGCTGAATTACAGAATTTACATTGTAAAACGATCACAACTAAAGTCACAACTTTTTTGGCTAATAACATATATAATCTTTAATAACGTTTACTAATTTTGAAGATTATGGATGTGATAGAAGTTAAAATTGGCAAACAAGCAGAAATGCAAGTGTACAGCTGCAACGAGAACCGCATTAGCTAAGCAGAAAGACTCTCGCTTTATTTCGCAAGAAAAACAAACAGTGTAACACAGAGACGAAAGGGATATATTACAGGATATGTTCGACCTGGAAAAAGGGCTTGGAATAGAAGATTATAAGTATGTACTTGTATTTCAAGTTTCCACAATGTAAAAGTTACAAAAACTTGAATCGCGTTTTTTTCAAAACAACATTTTGGTAGTTGGTGCCCACAATAACTCAAATCAACTTGCTCAATTGCACTTAAGCATTGTATATATTTTGATCGCATACATGGTGTACGTCTGAATTAGAATCAAGTCAAAATTTTCATTTTTATTTTACTAATAATTTTTATACTTCTCCTCAGATAATAGATCTATTAATAGGATATAGAAAGAATACATGCAGGTCTCTGAGGTTGGGACGTAATCATTGGCTACCAACGCAGGAAGGATAAAATAGACTTACTGGACATTGGGAAATGTTAAATGTACTAAAACAAAATAAAACTGTAAAAACACCCAAGACACATATACAGTTTTAGTTAGGACTATCAGAGGTAGAAAATTGAAGTTGCATCAATAAGTGCAAAGAAAATAGGCCTGTTTTGGTTCAAGAGTTCTGTAGTTCCGAACAGTTTTGAATCTTTTTGTGTATACAGATTGCATATTAAATGTATGCGTAGAAAGGTTCAGAAATGTTTGGAACTACAGAGGTCTTGACCCAAAACATGCATAATACACAAAATCACAAAATTTTCGGGATTTTGTGCCTTCAACGAAAAATAAAAGGAAAATGCAGCCAGAATATATGTATTGTTTGCTGCTCTAAAAAGAACGATTGAGGGAATACACTTCGAAAAAATATGCGCTACAGGTGTTGTTAATGAATAAAGATGCATAAAGATATAAAAGATGATTTGTCTTGGGTTGGGTTAGACTAGCCTTGATTCTCATTCCTTTCTCCTATGATTAGTTTTGGTTTTTCTTCATTTAATTACTATGAGCTTAGATGAGTTTACTTTATCCATTTTATTTCTTATTATTTAATTTATATCTTAACTCAGAAGACACTTCTTATTTCTCTTAACTTTGACAATTCAATTAAATAACATTGAAATTAATCTGTTAATTTGAGCTAATTTGTTATACAATTTTATTTTTCCTTGTTTTATCGGTCGTGTGCCATCCCATCCCTACTACTCTACTAAAAAGCTTGAGGCGCCCTCTTTCGGTACCTCCGCGTTGTCGGCGGTGCCGGCTTTAAAGGTGAACTGCCGATAGGTGGCGTCGTTCGCGTGCTCACCGCTTTAATTATCGTCTATCCCCTTTAACCGGGTGCTTTAATAGCCGGTGTGGTTTTTGTCACTTTGTAGCCGTTTAGCATTCCGCTCCTCGACCCCGCGCCACCACCTCTTCTTCCTCCTTCTCCTCCTCCATCTCTTCGCCTCCTCTTCCTCGCCGAGTTCTTCCTTTTTCCGTTGCGGTTGCGCCGATCCTTTGGGTCTCGCAATTGTTTTCGTGCCGGCCGTTGAGGTTGGTGTTTCTCTTTTGAGGTTTCCGAAGAGGACGAGTATAAGAAGAAGAAGAAGAAGGCTCTGTGTAATAAGAAGGAGTAACTGGTGGGAGCGAAGGCGAAGCTGTTGTTGAACTGTGTGAGGTTGACCACAAGCTTTAAATATCTTTTT